TATATATATATATATATATATATATATTTAACACGCGCGTATATAAAATTACTTTTGATCGTAATTGTGTCTTGTAATGATCAAGAGGGGCCTTTTATGTATATCATTAATATTTAAATGATTATATTCGAAAGAAAACTCCATACATACGTATATATTATGAGATTATAATAAAATTTATTCCAAGTTGCATACACACACAAAAATCGGACAAAACAATCGGAATATGCGATAGAACTCCCTATTTTCAATTTTTTCTTGTGACTTTTTGAATTAACGAAGAGTTTACGTCATACCCGTCGTCTTTCGTAGATGTATCGATAGTGGATAAAGGTGTAAGTACGTTTAAGACCAAAAAAAAAAAGCAAGAATTGATATACCAAAGAATGTTGCAAATTAATAAAGTTTATTCACCGGATCTTGCTAATTTATGAAGTGCATACATGTATACGCTTCCATGTGTGTTTCCAACACACGACGAAATATCAAAGTAAAAAATTTGAAATGCCTATTCGTACAATTCGTCGGCATGAAAAAAAATGCCTTATTGATAACGTGTGAAAAAGTTTCTTTTCAATCTTTCTTTTTCCAAACGGTGTCGTACAAGTCAGTGCGACGTTGATTGAACGTCGGAATTTGCGCTCTAACGTCATCCACAACTTTCAAATCTGTAATAAACATATTGTTTTGACTTATGCCGCCCGGATTTTATATTCAAAAAAATTACAAAAATCAAAGAAAGTTTTTGATAATATTAAAGAGATTTGGTTTTTTAAAATATTCACAACTTAAAAAAAAAAAATTATATCACTCTCCAATATAATCGCTACTATTGATTTGGTTATACTCTACAGCCTCGCGCGCCAGAATTAATTACCTATATCCCGAACCATCATATCCTCCTCGGCATCCAATTCGCCAAGTATTTCTGCCCAAGGGTTGGTTAATTGAGTATGCCCCCAAGCAACGTATCCAGGCGGCGAACCACGTGCCGGTGATACACATGCAACATATAATTGATTGTCGTTTGCTCTGGAACGCTGCAGCAACGACCAATGCAGCGGTCCGGTGGTCATGTTGAATGCCGCCGGGTATATCAACATTTGGCAACCTGATATTGTGTAGATTGATAAGAATTAAAAAAAAAAAAAAAAAAAAAAAAAAACAACGATGCCGATAACAAAATGCACTTGTCATCGTTTATTCACAATTATGTCAAATTGAACTTTAATATTTTTCTTTTTAAAATAAATAGTCTATTCACCTCTGTTTCTATATATCCGTGCCAATTCCTCGAATCTGATGTCGTAACAAATGCCGATGCCAATTTTGCAACCTTTCGCTTCGAAAATAGTAAGAGAATTGCCGGGCGATAGCGAATCGCTCTCGCGAAAAGTGATTTTCCCTTTAATATCGATGTCGAATAAATGCAACTACAAACACAACACTCAAGATTACGCCAATTCATCAAGGTGTTACCGCTCGTTTAAAACAAAAATTAGTAAGAATTATGTGGACTTCTTTGGCACGTTTCTTAATTTATATGAAATACATAGAGAAAATAATTTTAAAGTAATTTTAAAAGAGGAAATAATTTGTATGGAACACACTCAACATTTTAAGTACAAAGTAAATATTTTCGAGAACATTTCTTCCCGCAATATATTATTTTTTTTGACACATGTTCGGCGTTAATTTCTTACTTTTCTATGCTTGGCCACGAGCTTTCCGTCAGGTGCCCACACGGTGCAAGTGTTGTACAATTTACCGTTTTCTCTCTCCGGTATCGTACCGCCAATCACGTAGATATTGTTATTCCTCGCCGCTTCGGATAACATCGCACACGAATCACCGTCGGGAATGCTCTCGGCGTACTTGGCAAAGTGAGCTGTTTATTTCAGAAATGTAAGTATTTGCATACACGCGTACAATTATTGTAAGTGCGTATATTTCCTAATAATATGTATTTCCTATAATATATATTTCTTGAAAACGCGCTAATATTATAATTGTACACCGTATCTCTTCAAAAATATTACATATAACAATAATACATATGATACAATAATTGTATTATAAATAATTGTATTGTAAATTGATTACATTACAGCAGTAATAAATACATTTTATATAATCAACAATAATTGTATCAGAACGAAAAAGATAAACGATGCGTGTGATATTAAGATCTTGATATATATTTAAAAAAAATTGTTTAAAATAATTACATGGTCCGTATGGCGAATTGAAACATTCTGGTAGCGTCACGATATCGGCACGTTCCTGTTTCGCGCGCTCAATGAAAGAACGAGCTCGCGAGATATTCGACGCCTTGTCGTCGCCGACGGCTAGCTGAATCAGCGCCAAGCGCAATGCTGAAAATATACGATCGCCGTAGTTAGATCGATTTGAGCTGTACGCACGTGGCCTTGCAAATTGTGTTGTCAACTACTGCAATTTTCCCGCATTAATTTTTTACAATACCCATTTTTTCTTCACATGACTGATTCGATCGATAAGCTTGGAATGTAATTGAAAAATTTCAATATACAATGTGTCAAATCAACATAAAACGCAATTATATTATTTTCTCTGTTCGCGCATAAGGGCAGATTATGATTCAGCGAGTGTCAGCAAGTGAATAACAATTGAAATTAAATTATTTAAAAGTGATATGTAATTATGTATCACATGTGAATTATTCAAGACTGATTTATCTCGTGATTATTATCAGTGCAACTGATTAATGTTGCTGTGTGTGTGCAGCTCGTATGATTCAATTTAAGTTTAAACCGTCAAAGTTCGAACACAGTGAAATGACTCGAAGAAGGCATTTTTGCAATAACGTCGTTTCAGTAACAAGTACAAATGTCACGATTATATATTTTATATATGCGGTCCGATAAACTTTTTCCCAAATCCGAGTTTCACATGTCACAGAAATGATCACGCCACGTACTCGACATTGTTCTTGTTCCGTATTGCACGATATGACTCGCACGCAACATTACAGGTTAAGTATCCCACTCGCGAGGTTATAACTTGATGACGTAGAAAAATCACGAGTTATGGAAAAATAAAATTTATCCTTCCTCGTACGATGTTTAATTTTATCTGAGGATAAAAATTTAGACTGTGTATATGAAAAAATTTAAAACTCTTACAAAGAATATCACATTAAATTAAACAATTGTATGTGAGTCAATATATTACAATATACGCGGGCAATATATTACATAATATTTTACATAGGTCATTTATGTTCTCTATCTTACTAATTCCTTAGACATTCCATTGGAGCTGGAGTATATCTGTTTTCTGTGTCTCTTGTTAGATCGCTTTTTTTGGTTTTATATTTCTCGTATTTAATAGCGTCTCCAATCAAAGTTTATCGAACATGAAACACTAACACTACAGTAAATTTATACAAGTTAAAAAAATATTATGTAGGGATTTTTAACAAGTATTAGACAGTCAAGAAAAAACATTCATTTTCGAAAACTATCTAACAGATTTGTTCTAACAAACTAATTGACCTAGATCTTAATCTTATCGATGTAGGATATGTGAATCTAACATCTTATTGATTAGGATGTGAATCTATCCGGTTAGGATATAATTCTAACTGACTAACTGATCTTTCTGCAACTTTTTGTATTTTTGGGAGAACAAAACCTGTATATGAAAAAATAAGTTTATTAAAAAAGATGTTACATTAAATTAAAAAGTATATGTATGAGTCAATATATTATACATAAAACACATATCTCTATCATTCAGCAATCATTCACGTTTGATTTTTTCCATTCCACTCGATCATTTACGTTCATCGTTTGCTGGATGATCGAGATTTAGAACTTTTATATTTCGTGGATTTTCTTCTGTTGTAGGATTCTGAATATTTGGATAATCTATCCTCCCGTTTCTCGCGTTCCCTATCTTTCTCTTTGTGTTTCTTGGACTTTTTTGTCTTCTTTTCACTGTCGGTATCGCTGGAGTATCTTCGATTTCTGTGTCTCTTCTCATTATCGCTGTCGTAATCACTAACAGATGAATCCTTTCGATGTTCTTTTGATGTTTTTCTCGACTTTTTCGATTCGTGTTTTTCATCTTTTGAAGACTTTTTTTTCTTTTCGTGCGCCGCTACATCGCCGTCGTTACTAGATTCTGATGATACAGATTTTTGTTTAGTGTCTTCTTTATTTTTATATTCCTCATATTTAGTAGCATCTGCAATCAAATTAATAGAATACAAACTATTAAAACAACAGTAATTTTGTACAAGTTAAAAAAAATTTATGTAGGAACTTTTAAAAAGTATCAAGTAGTCAAGACAGATCATTTATTTCCAAAAAATATTTTACATACTTATATTGTTTAATAAAATTATAGATTTTGAGGCAATCTTAAAATTTATATTTACAAAAAATAGTAACACATAATATTATTAACACATACATTTAAAAGTCCCCAAGAGACGATTTGTTTTATCTACTTACTGAGAACTTTAGAATTTTTCAAATACTCCGCTTTCGTTACTAGTTGAACTAAATCTTCATTTACAGAAATGATGTTATTGTTCAAAGCCATTTTTACCATTACTCTTCCTGTATCTTGATCAAAACCTTCTACTTGACCATACGCATTTGCCCATCGCCCAGCAATTATTTTCACATAACTGGCTCTTTCCAGACGTAATTCTTTTTCTTCTTGTTCAGTTTTCTCGTTTGTTTTGTGAAAAGCTAATTTACTGATACCAAGTATTTTTGGTCGTAATACAGGGTCAAGTGGTACCACAACTCTGTAAAGATAATAAAATAACAAATGTGAGAAAGAAAAAAAATGTTCAAAATGTGTGCTAATGAACACATATATTAAACATATAACGTTAATCTTATTAAAACAAAGCTCTTACTTCTCATTTTTACCAAGGCCTTTCCCAGGTGTCCAACCCATTCCTCGCAACATAGCGAGGCCAAATGCATCTACTGGAATCTTTTCGTAATCTTCTAGTGTGCTCTATATGAAAAAAGAGGATTATATATAATCAAGTACATGAAAATATATTATAAAATATGTAAAGTCAATAATTCATACAATAACGCTCAATACACAATGTTAGTATTATTAATTACTAATACACTTACTTCCTCCACACCTCTTAAAGTATCCTCTACCAAAGGTAGAGTTAAATCACTTTTTTCCTTCTTTAACTCCAGATCTTTCATAATTTCTTGCGCTGCCTGTTCTTCTAATGTAAGAGTTTTTTCTTCATTTTCATCAGGAAGTTCTTTCTTTATTTTTATACTAGAACTATCTTTATTAACTGATGTTACATGTTCATTAGATGCTTCTGATGGTTCTTTCTTAATGATTATGTTCTGCTTGTCGGCATTTTTATCAGATGGTTTTGTTTCAAAAATATCAGCATTTGTTTGATTAATGACTCTGTTGTGCCATGTATTGGTTCCTAATAGTGGAATAACAAGAGGTTCCTCTTTCTTCTCTTCTTCTCTAAATAAAGATATTTTTCTTATTGTTACTAAGCACATCAAATTATACACAACACTTGTCTGAGAAACAAGTGAGATTAAAACTGTGCACAATTTAACTTTTTTGCAATATAATAAACTTCTAATAAACTTACCCGATAACTTTAATCGCTTTTGCATCCAGACACTTAATATAATCTATCTTTTTTTCTTCTTGAGGAACTTGCTTTAATGTTGATTTCTTGATGGATTTTGTAAAAGCAAATGATATTTTTTTGCTTTCAGCCATTTTTCTGCAATATTAAAGAACAGAGTTTAATTGAGATTAAGAGAAAAACATTTAGAACAAAATCCTCTCTATTAAATACCTTCCTTTTCTGTTTATATCTATTTTATGGTTTGGTGTTATGTATATATCGGCTAAAGTGCTTTCAATATCCTTACGCCATTTTACTCATCTATCTTATGTAAATACTTGCCTTATGTGTATAGAAATCAAATATCCACTGCTGATTTTTTTTGGGGTTGGTCCGGTGTTAAAGACGGCTAGAGTGCAATCTTTTTAACAACACTGATTGTTTGACTCTAACTTTGTAATTTTAATGGCTACTCGGCTACTGGCTGATGAACTGCGGTGTTGTCCAAAACTCGCGTTTTTGCGCATGCGCACTGCACAGCCAATCAGTTTCCTATTAAGATCTATCTGTGTACATAAGTCGCAGGAGCGGGTCGTGCGGAATTGACTAATCACGTTAGTCGAATGGCCGATTTGACAATCGTGATTAGTCAATTCCGTGAAACCAGCAACTCGCGTCTTATGCAAATAGGTCCTAATTTTTTGATGATCAAGTTAAAATTTCTCGTAATGACTGCTAGATCATTTCTGAGTCGGTTATTAAGAAAAAGTTTCAGATCTCGGATCCCAACAAGACCTTTATAAAATTCCTTATTGGAGTTAAATCAGCAGTAATACATCTGAGTACGCATGAGCAAAAACGTGACTTTTGACAACACCGAGATGACAGTTGCAACTGAAAATGAAATAAAATTTATGAAATTCACGTGATCTACGTAGAGCGAATTATTATCACGAAAGTAAAATAAAGAATTGCACAATCGCACAGTTGTTTTACTCTCTATGAAACTCACACTCGGTTTGTAAATAACAAATACTATGTAAGGGAATGTAAGAAAAATATAAAAAAATAAATGATAAAAATTCAAGTTTAGAGGGCAGTGACACACATTTATCTTATATATATTTTCTATAAATAATATGGAAATTACAGACATTTACATAATAATATATATTTGCTTAAATTTCTTGTGCTTATCTAACACACAAACATCAGTCTCTTTTTATATCTCACAAATGCACGAATAGTTCTTCAAGATTCTTCTCCGACCGTATGTTGCATTGTCCACATATCTGTGTTTGCATTACATTATTATAATACCGCATACACATCGATATATAGTAGGACACGTGAATAAGACGTTACGTACTACGTCAGAGTTGATCACTAATCTAAGAAATAACAAAAGATCTCGACCGATCTCCATTGACTACCTCGTCTCGACGAGACAATAAATAAATTATTGGCTGTTTGCTTCCAAATCCATATCTGACCAAACGGCTTCGGTCTCGCTTTCCTCCGGTGCCTCATCGTTGTCCGTATCCGGTAAACCGTCGGCATCGCCGACATCATAAGTCGTGTCGGCTTGTTCCTCACCTACGGTCATATAGTAGGTCGAATCTAATTTACTCGAGGAATTGTCCAGTCTATGCATCCCCTCTAGAGCTCTACGATTGTTCGGATCTAAGCTAAAAATGAGATAAAGTAAGTTTCATCCACCTTCCAATTATGCAGATCGACGATTGCGAGAAAAAAGAAAGAGAAGATTAAAGAAATAGGTTTTATAAAGAATTACTTTAAAGCTATGGCGTAATGATCTAGAGCCTTTTCCTCATTGTGCACTCTCGCCCAGAGGTCGCCCAAGGTCTGATGGAGCTTGCAGGTAGAATTGATCTCCACCTGCTTTTCGAGCAATTCGATGGCTGCTTCCAGATTCATCTCTTGTTCGTATATCTCCGCGAGCAAGTACACCGCCGGTAAGTAAATCTCATCTTGTGCCAATGCTTTTTCAAGAAGATTCTTAGCCTTACCAACTGATACGGGATCCTTCATCAAAACGGAAGCGTACAACTGCAAACGTAAAGGCTTGCGTTATTATCTGCGGGGACACGATTTCGGGATTTAATCTCACCGTTAAGACTCTTGCAGTATGGCCGAGCTGTTTGCAAGAACTGCTGGCGATATTCAAAGCTTCTCGCAACCTGTGCATTCCGACGAGACAGTCCACCAGACCTTTATGGGATTCATATCTGTAGGGCTTCAATTCTACCGCATGTCTGAAGAAAAACAACGCTTCCTGATACTTCTTCTCCTCTATGAGAAGATTACCGCGCAATATGGTAGCTTCTATATCATTGGGATTTAGATTAAATGCTTCAGCAGCGAGAATATTCGCTCTGTTGATCTTTCGAGCGGCATACAAGGAATAAGCCATAGCGACGCAGATCTCGCTGGTACATTCATTGTTTGCTGTTATCGCCGGTATCAAGCGTTCCAGTTCTTTGATGTGATGCGTTTTATACAGCACTGCAGCTAATATGTCTACCCTATGTGAAAAAAGAAAAGAAATAATACAATATTTCTACAAGATACTGACAGTGACACTAACAATGTGCTTACCCTTTTGTTACATCTGGCTCAATAACTCTGGCCCGCCTCAAGCACATCAAGGCATTTTTATCATCGCCAGCATAATAGTAACATTCACCCATAATAGTCAATAGATTAAAATTGTCCCTAAGCAGAACAACATTATCTAATGATCTTAATGCGGATACTGCATGAGTGTATTCTCGATTGTGAATATGAGTGTGAGCCTTGATCCATGTATTAAGCCATTCCAGGTTCATTGAACCCGAGAGAGAGTGGACAATTAAAGAGTTCACTTCCACACCTTTTACTCCTAAAGAAAGAAGGCCTTCCGCTGCCTCTAGAGCCAGTGGACACTCTCTCAGAACCTCCTTGTAGGTTGAGATGGCTGATCGTTCCATTCCATGCTCGTGAAATACTTTAGCCAGTGCCATGTTCACTTTGGCGGTGCGCTGCTTGGCAGGAATACTCTGCAACACTTGCAACGCCTCTTGGGGATTCTTTGATTTCAGCAGACATAAGTGAATCTGATACTTGATGTTGACATCTGACGGCAGATCTTTCTGTCCGTCTAACATGGGTTTTCCCGTGCCCTTGGACTTGATCAGACACTTGCGGAATTGCAAGGCCTTTTTGTACAGAGTCTCCGCTCTGCGATACTTGTCCAGATAAAAATGAGCGTCCGCATAATAGATGTACACATGAAACTTGTTATACGGGGACAGCAGATCGGCGTTGTGCTCACTGAGAGAGAGCACTAAATTGGTGAGCGAGATCACGTTAGAATAGAGAGCTTGATCGTAAAGCAACTTGATTTGCTCGAACAAATTCGACATGATGAATTTTTGTTTTTCACAGACTATTATTTACTCAAATGGTGTTGACAGATAATCGTTGTGTGTACTACAACGAACAAGAGATTGTTTTCACAAACCTCTTGGAACGAAAGAAAACTGTCTAAAATTACAAAAAAAAGACGAACAATCTTAAAGTTATTATTTCTATTCAAACATCATCGCACTAATCAAATCATTACCGCACACGTAAATTGTAACCTACGTACAGCTGTTTAGTGTACGATGTTTGAAAGATAAGCCGATAGAGGACGCTGCGATATATTTAAGTGTAAATAGAGTCCCTTGAACATAGAGTCTGGCCACTCATCGTATTTGTTGTTATTGGTTCAGCTCGCAAGACTCTCAAAATGGCGAAACCAATTACAGCACTGAAATTGTACAGATTAAATACAAACGCGCGTACACAACACACATCCTCACAAGGGCCTGAGCATAATAGAGAAAATATTAGGAATAAGAATTAAAAACAGAGGTTAAATGTAATATACAATAAGAAAGAATAAAATATAACATATAAACGTATATAACTGTGTAGGCTGTATATCATGCTGCCATGACATACTTCCTGTATGTCATATCGGAGAGAAGTCTGAGAACGACCAGGCACATAAGAGGATGTGTAATCGCTTTTCCGCCCCGTAAACTAGCGCATGTCCACGGATGGTACACATTGGAACTACGCAGCCAGTCCACGAGCGACATGTCCACAGCGTGCGGTTCTATTCTGTGCTATGTGCACGAGTTTAAGATTCGCGATTCGCGATTCGCAGAAACTCTTATGGCCGTGGCCGCTCTCAGGCTTCTCTCTGGTGTTACAATATATGTTATGCAGTTAAATAATATAAAAAAGTCAATGCAGTTGAATAACATACAAAACTTAGTTACTGAAATACATTTCGATGTACTTAACCAGTTTCTCGACGTTATCTAATTCGACCAGACTAGTGGTCTCGCGGCCTGAGTACAGGGGCTGCGAACCCCGGAGTTCTCGAGTTCGAATCCACCTAAAGGATTTTTTCCCGGGCTGGTCCTTTCTCAATCGATTGATTGGCGAACAGAATCGAGAATCCAGAAATTAATTCAAGTTTAATCTCGAATAAAATACTGGTTTTAATAAAATACTGGTGTCAAAGATATTGACATGGTAGAAGTTAATAATGCATTTACTTCAATAAAAGAATGGGGAAGTTTAATTGCCCATCCCAACTGCTATCTGATAACTATTGCTATTGTTAGTTCTGGTTAGTAGATGGGATAGGTAATTAAATTTCCTCATTCTTTTATTGAAGGAAATGCATTATTAACTTCTACCATGTCGATATTCGCTTGCTTTAACTTTGTTTTAAATGTTTTTGATATTTATTAATATAAACTCTTTTAAACTGGTGTTATTTCTATCGCTATCGCAATTCCTTCCATTGTGCAAGAGGCTTTAAGCCTCTTGCACAATGGAAGGAATAGCGATAGCGATAGAAATAACACAGTTTTTAACACAGAATTCCAACTCGTCGGAAATTTTATCGCTATTGCTTATTCCGATTTTCTGATCTGCATTGATACATGTGTATTTTTGTATGTTAGATTCCGCTGTTCCTACCTTTATTTTTAAATATAAACTCTTTAAAACTTTTGTTATTTCTATCGCTATCGCTATTCCGCCCATTGTGCAAGAGGCTTTAAGCAGGCAACACTGTATAACAGTGTCCACTAGTGTGAGAAAGAGCATATCAGTGTGTCTCACTCATACTAGTGAATACTGTGTTACACAGCGTCGCCTGTGTACGTAGTTGGAAACCTAACCCGCTGTTTAGCGCAAAATAGACCAACAGAGGACGCTACAATATAGCTCGAGCGCGAAATATGATAAAAAAGATATATTTCGATTCTTCATATCTAGTAGTTTTTTATCACACGTGAGGTTACACCTTCGTTGTTTAGACATTATTGACGCAACTTTTATGTGAAATTGAGTAGAATATTATCGAAAAGAAAAATTGTTTACAGAGTTTTGTAAAAAAAATATATATTTTTTTAATTGTTTTTTATATTTCATATATGTAATACATTAGTACAATTTGATTGCTTAATGTTGCAGTCACAGTAATTGTGCGTATACATTATGTGTTTGTTTGTAGCAATTCAATAGAATCTACTAGTGGAAAGAGAATTGCGGATCGAATTTTCTTGCAAATATTATTTTCTATTTTTAAATAAAAGATCTTTTACAACGAAATAAAGTACAAGATAAGAATATATACATACATTTCAATAGAGTAAACTGATAAAAAATGGAAGAAGGTGAGTATTAAGTTCGTTTTCACACACGCAGTTTTTGTATATGTAATTTTATAAATAAAAAATTGATAGCTCACACAAATACTCAAACCGGTGGCAAGTTTATCGATACATTTATCGCGCAATGGATGAAAAGAACAGAAAACAATATTTCGCTCCACCAGACAGAAGAGGTAGACCAAACTTTTGATCGCAAACTGGTATTGCGACTTTTTATTGCAATACACAAAACAAAGTTTACATTGTTTTGGAAATAGGTGCAGGAAAGTTCTTCGCAGAATGTATTGCGGGACGAGAATCGCGTAATTCAAGATTTGAGGCGAAAGCTAAGCGAGAGTCAACAGATGAAGACTTCCTTGTCGGCTTCTTTAGAAGTGGAAATGCGCCACAGAGAAGAAATTCAGACGAGGTAATCTTTAGTTCTGTTACGCATTTTGTTTTCTTAAGGATTTGATATAATCGGCGAGTGTTCGATCACGACACAGACTCACCGCTACCTGGGAAACCATTGATACCATCACAGAATATTATAATTATATTAGCGAAAGCCTCGCTACTTTTCAACAGCACCGCGCTAATTTGTCCGGTTTGTACGATAACGTGATTCTGAAGCAGCAAGAAGCCATCAAGAAACTTCAATCGGGTAAGATCCAATCACCAAAGATATGCTGTCTCGGGAGACAAATATGTTTTTCTTAATTAATTTTATACGTTTTTCTTAATCTTAAATACTGTATAATTATGCGATCTGTGTACAACTCTGTGTTTAATTTTATATAATCGCACGTACAGATCGCGATAATCATATCGCACAACTGAAACACAACGCTCGTCACGAGGAAAGGTAATTTTTGAATATTGTCAATAATTTCTTATATATATATAAATAAAAATGTCGTCAAAATCATTTTTCGTATCAGACTGCAGGAAGCGATAACGGAGCAGAACAAGTTGCGGAAACAATTGGAGAATTACGAACGCGAACGCGCATCGCAACAGAAGGAATTGGCGAACACGCACGCCGAAAAGCTGGCGCACATCAGAGTTTGTTGTCTCAAACATTTTTTTCTCGAAGATTTCTCATATAAATATTTATATCACAGATTTATAATGTTTTTGTTTCACTTTAATGGCTTTTCTAATTTTAGGAACTCGAACAGTTGTCAGTGAAACATGCGAATCTACAATCGCGTCTACAGTCGGTCGAAAAAGAAAAATGCGACATCAAGGATTTGGTCACGCAACTGGAAAACAAATTGTTAATGCAAGAAGAGACGTAAGTTGTCGTGTCGCACGCGATAAATTTTGCGGCAATAATAGCAATAAAACTGCGTTTTAGGATGCAAAAGCTTGTAACGGAAAAAGATAAATTGCAGAAACAAATAACGAACATTGAACACGAGTCGAATGTGCAGAGAGAGAAATTAGTGATCGCGCACACTGAAGAAAAGAAAATGCTTCTTAAGGTAAATCTCTTAAAATTTATTTCTTTTTTTTATTGTACAGTTTGTTTTAATTGTCTGGATTTTACTTAATAATATTTTCATAAAATATTTATCAATTTACACACCTGTTCCAGGAACAACACCAATTGCTATCGGAATTAGAGAATTTAAAACCACGATTAAACATGCTAGAGCAAGAAAAAAAAGATGTTACAGAAATAATCATGCAGAAAGATGCGCTTCTTTCAAACCTTGAAAATGAAATTTCTACTTACAAGTGAGTATTTTACATTATTGCGACTTATGAGTAACTTAAAAGTAAAAATATCTTCCAAATTGTTATCACATGTTATTGTTGCATAAAATAAATAAGTCTTAATTGTATTTTGATAGAAATCAAATAAAGGACGCGGAGCAAAATTCACACATGGAGAAAAATAAATTAGTGAGTCTACACGCTGAAGAAAAGAAAATATTGCTTGAAGTACGTCAAAAAAATAAATGTTTTAGAATTTTTTTCCTTCCTTGTTTTAAATCATTTTTTTGTGATGCATTTTTGTTTATTATACTTATTTCAGGATAAACAACAATTGTTATCAGAAGTGGAAAATTTAAGATCACGATTAAACATATTTGAGCAAGACAAACAAAATATTACAGAAATAGTCGCGCAGAAAAATGCGCTGCTTTCAGACCTTGAGAATGAAATTTCTATTTACAAGTGGGTGTTTGAATTAGTACGACTTATGTTATATTGAAAAATAAAACTATCTCTTCCAAATTGTTATTACATATTATCGTTGTAAAGTAAATAAGTTTTAATTTGTTTTTTATTTTGATAGAAATCAAATAAAGAGCGTAGAGCAAAATTCACATATGGAGAAAAATAAATTAGCGGCTCTACACGCTGAAGAAAACAAAAGGCTTCTTGAAGTATGTTAGAGAAAAATGTTTTTACTTTATTTTCTTTTTTTTTAAATAATTTGTAATACATTCTTGCTTATTTCAGGATCAACAACGATTATTATCAGAATTAGAGAATTTAAAATTGCGATTAAACATGTTAGAGCGAGACAAAAACGATATTACAGAAATAATTGCACAGAAAGATCTGCTTCTTACAAGTCTTGAGAATGAAATGTCTAGTTACAAGTGAGTATTTAAGTTAATAAATTGTTGAATTAAAAAGTAAAAGATATTTCTTAAATAAAGTGTGTAGTACAAATATCTTTTAAAAATTGTAATTACATCATATCATCTTAAAAAAAAAATTGAAATAAAAAACCAAGCTTTTAATGTTATTTTGATAGAAATCAAATGAAAAGTGCAGAGCAAAACTCGCATATGGAGAAAAATAAATTAATGAATGTACACGCTGAAGAAAAGAAAATGCTAGTTGAAGTATGTTAAAGAAAGTTTTACAACTTTTTCTTCCGTTTTCCTCTGTTTTTCTTTGAATAAATCTGCAATATATATTTTAACTTATATAATGCTTGTGTTTTCTTAGGAACAAAAGCGACTGTTATCAGAAGTGGAGAATTTACAATCACTATTAAACACGTTGGAGCAAGACAAAAACGATATTGCGAAAACAATCGCGCAGAAAGACGCGCTTATTTCACACCTTGAGAATAAAGTTTCTACATATGAGTGAGTATTTTAATAAATGTTATATAATACGGTCAAAAGTGACCATTTTCATTAGATTGTTAATGTGTGAAGAAAATACATTCTTTTTTTTAATATGCAAGAAATCAAAACGAAGCGATAGTGAAGAAACAAAATACGCTGGAAGAAACACTATCTACAAAAACGGAAACGGTATGTAAGACTGTTTTTTTTTTTTCCTAATTTTTGACATATAAAAAAATGCATTCAATGCTGCAAAAGAATGCAAATGCAAAAGAATGCTATGCATTTTTTTTTAAATGCTATATTTTAATTTTTTCAGATTCAGAATTTACTGACAATATCAAGTGGGGCTAAACAAAGAGAAACCAAGCTCATTAATGACGTGAATAGAATGGAGAAAAAATTAAATAGCGAGATAGAGTATTCTAAGAATCTCAAAGATAAGCTTTCGAAAGCGCACACAGATTTGCAGTTAGCGCAGGTGAAAAACGTTGAGATGGAAAAGAATCTGGAAAAGATGAAGACCGCCACCGAACTTCAGCAACGTGAAAATATCGAACTTCAAGAACAACTGAAGAATCTTCAGAAAGAAAAGGAAGAAATTCTGGAGCGGCAAGCCAGAAGTGAGGTGAGAAAGATAATTCAAAAATTCATCACATCGATGTACGCGCATTTTAATTTATCTCTCTAAACTTGTTGCATTTTTCGTCAGAACGTTCTTATTAAATCCACAACCGATCAAGAGCGGTCGAGGGAACAAAAAAGCGTGAAACGCAAATACGATAACTTATTTGATTCCTACATTACAGAAATAAACGAGGATGGTCAGAGCAATGTAAGTAAACAATTGGTGTGTGTGTGTGTGTGTGTGAGCAATTAAGTAATCATTGATTATCAACTATTTCGTAGAAGATTAAAACTAATCGTATACAGGATCTCTAGCTGCTCATGAAAGAATTATTCCGATTCTTCGAATCGTGTGTTTCAGGTTTCTACATCTGCGGAATTCAATGATGACGATAATAATGAACCGTCATCGCCCGCGGATAGTCGATCATCGCAGGTACTGAATACGCACACAAACCGCACATTGTACTCGACAGAGAGGGAAAGTCAGAAAGAGGTACGGCGCGCACACCAACAAACGCGCATGTTTGTTAAAGTTAACACGACTTGTATGAAATCTAAACGGAAGAAAAAAAAACCCTACACTTAAAACAACATACATATACACAATATATATATATATATATACATAAATATGAAAGAGGATAATAGCGTAATGACGTTTCTTGCGGTATTAGCGGAGTACTGAAAATAAGTGAAAGTGAGAAGGTGGGATGTACGAGTGTTTTAATGTATAATCTTACATTCGTCCTTTCTTCTTTCTTCCATTCACTTGTCGTTACTCGAGATATCGAACCGAGATAACTAAGTATAGAAACGTTTCATTGACGTTTTTATGTTTTCTACTTTGCGCAGCAAGAGGCGGAAGTTACATCAGTGGGAAAGAAATTCTTCCACTCGCGTTCCGCTCAACGACGTACCTACTCCAGGCGACAACGTTAGGGAGATCTACAAAGAAATTCCTGAATAGAAGATCTGAGGATATTGCTGCTTCGGACCAAGTACATTTGAGCGATGAAGATTTGTTTTTTTTTCTCATTTTTTTTTCATCTCTTTGTTATATTATCTCCCGTTATATCAATTTTGTTTTTTTTCTCGTGCAAAATCAAGAGTTGCGGAGAGAAAATAATAATAATACTTAAATAATACTTAAATAATAATTATATAATAATCATAAAATATAAAATATAATAATATAATTATAAAATTAATAATTAATAATTATTTATATATATAATAATTGTAAAATTTTTACTACAACATTCATCGAGATATTTGTGAATCGCCAATATGAGTCAGGATCATTCACATATTCTGTGTGAAATAATGATATAGATGTATTGAGTAAGCCAACCGTATTTAGGGTAACATCGGTGAATAAAGTAACGAGACTCATCATCGCGCTCTCGAAAAAACGCCTACGCACCTTCGACACGGGGGAGAGATTATGTACGTGGAGTGGAAGCGCGCAGAACTTAAAATTAAACGTGATTCACCGGTCCAACATCCAGCCAATAAATGATCCCCTTTAAAATCGACATGCGAGACCCAAATTACGCAACGCGATAATGGAACGGCGCAAATCTCATAATTACCGCATAGCTACCGAGGATTATGTTGCTTATTCTATTTTTTTGTTGTAAATATGTATTGCGATACTTGTTTTTTTGTTTTTCACTTTTCACTCTTCTGCGTTCTTCTAACGTTCGTTTTTTTTTCTGCGCTTTTGTGTTGCTATTGCGGTTTTCCCATTCTTGATCTACGAAGTTTTGTAACTCAAATGTTTTTTATATTTACGTTTAAGTCAAAAGAAACTCTCATTCTCAGTACATATATTACCATCTACGGTCTTAACTCCTTCGCTCCCTCTTCGCATTGTCCACAATTTTCTCTGTATCTCGCACTTATGCACGAAGTCGGTATCTGGCGCGCGAGCGAGATGCGGATCGCGCAATAATAACCCAAGCCCCTTCATATGACAGAGAACTATTTAAAAGTAGCGCGCGTTCTACTTTCGAACACGCTCCCGTTCCTTTTCTTTCTTTTGAATCAGGACTTCAGACACACACGTTGCCTGTGGTGTTCCGAACACCGATATATCACGCGCTGAAATACGCGTTGAAACGAGACTGCAACTGCAAGTCTTATTGGGATCCTTTTTGTTCCCACAATATATTCATCAGGACGATTCTTGATCCGATATTTTTGACTTTTGATAAGAACTTAAAGCACTTTTTATATTTATATTTTACTTCGCACACATTATAATATTGTACGTATCTCAAACAGCACAGTCGTCACTAAAGGACGACTTAAGATCGTCTCATTGTCTTTTAGACATCTTTAACAAGTCTTTCTGTGCTGTCTGAGATTGTCTAGATAGATAAAAGATCCTTTATTGGCTCGTAATATAGGAGACCGCCAACGCGATGAGATTCGCGAAATCTTCTTGCGAATCTTATTGCGGCATATTTATCATTTATAATCATTACCGAGCTGTGTCCAATTTCCACGCAGCAGCTGCGTCTCTCTGCGATTTCGGAAAACCTATTTCTCGTTTAACTGAATAAGCCGCTAATATTAGAATTCCGAAACGCGTGGAATCACGCTAGTGTTATACAAGGTGTTCCGTGGTAATATGGTGAGAAAAATGTGTCGCGCGCGTGTGCGCTGTTAAGCGAGCGAATAAAGAAACGAATGGAAAAACTGACAAAACGCACGAGTGTCGCGGGACGGGCGAAAAACTCGCGGCGATTTTCGCGTAGTAAAAAAGTTTTTAAACAAAACAATTTTCTCTCTCGTTTTCTCGCTAAGAAAATCCCGGGACACCTTGTATACACCCTCGTACGTTGTTGGACGAATATCTCCCCCGACTTGGCCACACGGTGGTTGCGTGGTCCTCGCGAATGTATAAAAAGCCGCGGGCCAGAAGCCGCGGCACTTCAGTCTTTTCAAAAATAAGGATGGCTCTAGAACGTCAAGTGCGCGCTAAGGTACATACATACATATATACATATATATATATATTTCGGTCGTGGAGTGTAACCATTCCTATCCGTTTACGGTCACGCGCGTTGCATATGAGTGATCCACTTGCTGGAATTACCGCGTTTTCCTCATTTTCAAAAGAACACGAATTCTCAAGAAGACTGACGCGCTTGAACTTGAACAAAAAAAAAAAAAAACAAATTGTGTAAATAAATAGATAATGATAGATGTAGTCAGCTTCAAATTTTTTTAAAATTAAATAACGTTAAGACAATGGCTGTTTGAAGCAAAACACTGCTGATGATGTGTATGTAATGTGTAACTTTATTTGAGAAAACTAATATATAACATTTTCGGCCTTCGAATTAGGCCTTTTTCAATATAAGTGCGTGGACATAGTTAACAAGTTCTTGAATCAAGTTTTAACACAATTTCACATGATTACGCTCAGCGAGTTACAAAGTAACAGTTACTTTGTAACTCGCAATCGTTATATATCGCAATCGTTAAAACGTTATATATTAGTTTTCTCAAATAAAGTTACACATTACATATACACATCATCAGCAGTGTTTTGCTTCAAACAGCCATTGTCAATGTCTTAACGTTATTTAATTTTAAATTGTGTAAACTTTGAAGTGTTTCGAAATATATCGTACGCGCACAAATTTGATTTTGATCAAAGATTCTTCGATTATTTCACTTTTCATGTTTCCTCGTTAAATCCAATTTCTCTAATTAAATCGCAAAACGACAAAGATTTACGATTTTTTTCGAAACGTTCGGTTTTTGTAGATTGCGGGGAAACGCAATCCGGAGCAAGAGAGAGAGGCACAGGAATGGATCGAATCGATCCTTGGCAAGAAGTTCCCTCCAGGTGAGATCTTCGAGGATGTGCTCAAGGACGGCCAGGTTCTGTGCCACCTGATGAACAAAATCTCTCCCGGATCGGTGCCGAAGATCAATACTTCCGGTGGACAGTTCAAGATGATGGAAAATATTAACATGTGAGTATTATTCGCGCGCAATTGGTGCGTACATATGTAGCAACTGTATAAATCATCGAGTACGCGTTGCAGGTTTCAAAAAGCCTTAAAGGAATACGGAGTGGACGACGTCGACGTCTTTCAGACTGTGGACTTGTGGGAAAAGAAAGACATTCCGCAAGTAGTAACGACACTGTTCGCACTCGGTCGAACGGTACGACACCTCATTACACATTTGCGATTACTTTTTAAACTTCAATTGCAAATTTATGTTGTTTTTTGATTTTTTAAAATAATGTTACTTTTATTATTATTATTATTATTATTATCACGCAAGTATGTTATATTGAATCTGTTGATTTAGACGTACAAACATCCGGAGTGGAAAGGACCTTACCTAGGACCTAAGCCAGCAGAGGAGTGCAAACGCGAATTTACGGAGGAACAATTGCGGGCCGGCGAGTCGATGATTGGTCTCCAAGCAGGTTCTAACAAGGGCGCGACTCAATCCGGCCAGAGCATCGGTGCCACTCGCAAAATCCTCCTCGGAAAGTAAATTGAGAATTCTCTTAACGCAGCTGTTTCCACGTGCTCTCTCTTCCACTTTTTAGAGCTAAACAAAAAAAATCATCTTTTTTCTATGTATGTACATAAAAGTATATATATATATATATATATGTTTGATTTTACTTTTGTAATTAAACGATAAATTGCGCTGTTATCTACTTCAGTTTTTTTCTTATAACGATAGACGCCGATAACAATGTGTAACCATCGCATATAAGGAAACTTTGAACTTTTATAGATAATTATAATTAGAGAATATATATTCTTATCGCTCGAGTCAACGACCATACTTGTAGCGATAATAATTGATTTTTTACAATTATATAAGCAAAATATATACTCTGTCGTTTATTAAATCAATTTGTTTCATCTTTTCACGTCCATCGGGAAATTTCAGTCTCGCAAAATGTACAACGTCACGGATGTATTATTACCCTATTATTGCGTTTTGAAGCAATAAAATTGTCTTATTTAACTTGTTGACGCGACAGGTGCGCCTTTCAAAACGCGCCAAAAAATATAATTGTTATCCAAAGATTTCGAATAAAAGTTCTATCCATCCAAAGTAGTTTTTTTTTTTTATATATACACATTTGCTCATCTCTTTCCTCCTTGGACTCTTAAGGTAAACTCTCTCCGATAAAATTGGTTTTAAATCAAATACGTAAAAAATGTTCTTAAATATGTAAAGTAGTTTATTTATTTCTCCAAATTTTTTCAGCACAATTACGCTACGTGTAAAGATATTTAAAGAGACATCGCGCGCACGGATGAACATCGAAAATAAAATACGCTACGACGCGATGCAAATTACGTGTGCAACGTGCTGAAATTGTGCCAAGCTAATGTGTTGTAGAACTGTGTGTGGGATGTGTGTTCTATTGATATCCCGAAAATGTTTCAATGTTGCTGCTCGCTCGTCCAAAACATTCGCGAAAAAAACGTGCTTCGTGTAACATTGACGTATATCTCACCTTCACGAAATTGGAAACACACCGCATTAACGACGTTCGCTAATTTGTTTATTTATTGCTGCTTGTTTACTCTAACAGCTCGCCCATTAGAGAAACAATACAACGCCTACATACGCGTCTTATGTTATTATTAAGAAAGACACGAGTTATCGAATAAGAACCGCGCGATAACGTATATCAGAATTGTTCAATCAATCTGTCGAGAAAAAAAGTGCTCACGTACGTATTTATAGAACGTATATTTACAAAGATGCTTATATATATTACGAGCGCGCTACAATAGAATAATATTCCCGCGCGCAACACGTAGCAGAAAAAGGTACGTCACATATGTGTTTAAAATTAATTAGCTTTAAAATATAACGGCGTGTACAAAATTTATTTCGCACTTCTTCATCGCGCGTGTGAAGAAATTGCGCATAAATATATAAATATAGTTTAGCTCTCAGGTTGCAAGCCGTTCTATCATCTGCACGCTCGCGTGAGCCGTTTAATTCACCAGTTTCTATTATTCGCGATTAGAAGATGCGTCAAGTTTCTCTGCGAAAGAAATACTTTTATAGAAACGTTGAATGGGAAGAAGTGGGAGGAAAGGGGGAATTTACGAAAAAAATGTTTAAGAAGATTCGAGCACGTAGAGTCTTTTAGAGATGCGATCTCGAGTCGATTTCCCGCTGTGTGTCTGTGAATTTTGCCGTGTGCGCGATTTCACCTTCGGAAACGGTATCGGATGCAAATTGTGTGTGCGCGCGCGCGCGCGCATGATGCTGTGACGCGACGTTGTGGAAAGACTGGTCGCCAATTCCCCGAGACGAATGGAGCGTGGATGTGGATCATGCCAGGGTTACGATACTTTAGAATGCAAACCGATGGAATTATTTTATTGACCTCGACCCAGCACAACTTCATAATCCGCGCGCGCTTTTCAATACGACTTTAATATGCGCAATGTTTTCCCGCGCGATATTAGGACGCGCTAATTCGCGGTGTCATTACGCGTTGAATCGGCGAAGTTATTTTTTGCTCTTCTTTCCTCTTTTTCCATTGAGGTGGAGATTAGAATCGGCTTGGTGTGAGGACATACGAGCGAGTCGCTAAGAAATCAGACTCTCCAATCTGAGACGAAGGCGGGAGGGGGAAATTAGAAGGCGAGAAGCTACGCTCCTTCGTGTCTTTCTTTGGAAAGAAATGCGAGAGATCAGGCGTAGCAAGCATTTCTATTAAAAAAAAAAAAAAAAAACAACATATACAAGATCAAAAATTGTTTATATACATCATTAGAGTGCGCGTATTCTCTTTTTTTTTTTTTTTTTTTTATCGCGAACGATAAGATATATGCGACTTGTAATTAAATGTATTATATCACAATTATGTTTTCATGATGCAACAAATAAACCGTTCTTCGATCGCGATCGCTATCTGGACAAAACAAAGGCGTATATTTTTACGTGTTGTGCAATCACGTTGTGCACACGTCAAAATACGAGATACCAAATGTCAATTGTTGTTAATTATCAAGATTAACGAATGAAGATGCGGATTTTGATATCATCGAGCAAGAGATAATGTTCGATATTAAAGACGATCGAAAGATTATATTCGGAGACGCGCAAAGATATTTTTTTTCTCCCTCTCTCTTTAAAAATTATTTTAAAAAATTCACATATCGTATCGAAAAACGAATTAAAACTAAATATATATATATATCTGAATTCAAAAGAATATTTTTCTTTAATTTTGCCGCAATACAAATTCTGCGTCTACGTCTTGCAATGTGTGTTCCAGAAAATCACAAGAACGTAAATAAAATTAATTATTCGTTCATTATCTCCGGCATCCTTTCGCCAGCCGACATTGTAGGTGCAACGATTTCCGACACATAATTTTCGCGCAACTGATAACGTGCAATTTCTTTTGCTTGAAATCGTGAAATTAAGTATTTCAATATTTTAACACCATTTAATCAGATAGGTCTGGTAACGCTCGACATTCGACAATCGCGCACATCGAGATAAAGTTTGATCGACTTGATCGGCAAATCCGAAGATCGTTTCCGCGATACGAAGACGCGGTTGTATGAATAAAAGAATGTCGGGATTGTGTTTTTTTTCACAGTGGAAGCGCCGCAGGCGTGTCGCAACGACCGCCGCTTCTCTTTTACCACTTCAAGAGCAAGGTATTCTTTTTTTTCTTTCTTATGTTTTTTCTTTTCAATCTGACGTGTGGGGTGACGCGAGTACTAAAAAAAACGTGAGTTTTAAAAAAAAAAGTATTGTGAACCGGTCCGCGTCTATTTGGCTACTTTCTCGACGCGGCACCTGCGCCACCCGGAAATAATTTGGTAACGAGTTAGGCCAGATATAATAATAATAACAACACAAGTCGCGCAGAGTAATAATAGAGTAACAAGTTCCTTAGATTATTAATATATGTACTAGAGACAGAAGCAAGTTCGGTAATGTGATAGCAATAATAATAACCAAAATAACTTATTTAATAATAATAATAATAATAATAATAATAATATAATAACTTCAACATCGACATGACATAATGGAGAGACAATGCACGTGTAACATGTTGAGATGTCAAAAGCAGAATCGAGCGATGTTTGAGACATTGTCTATTTTATCAATGTTGTGATCTCCTACCCGCAATATTCTCATTGCTTGTGTCGTCGTCTCTCTTTCTCACTCCGTCGAGAGAATCGCTAGTCTCGCTCGCCGTCTCCTCTCGCTCTCTCTTAACACGCTATCGTACTCCGTACGCAGACAGATGCTTTCATTTTTATTAATAATAAGCCTACGTGCGAGCATCAACCAAATCGCCGACACCGAGGCAAAGTCGACGTGGAGAGAACAAAAAACAGGTTATTATTATTTTTTTGCAGAGTTTTTGCGATGATTTTTGAATGTGTGATGCGAAAAGAGAGAGAGTATGTACCGCGTTACACGCGTTATGTGCGTTTAACGAGGAACCTTGACGCATCGATTTAAGATGCGAAGGACACGTGGCAATCATTGTTCAACATCTTTCTAGCCTTCGGAAAAAAATACCTGGTATATTCATATTTTCACAATTGTCTCCCACGCACGAATCTCAGTTCGAGTTCTGTTTGCGAAATAGCCGCTGTAAAATTAGTTGCAAATTGTAGATTTAAATAACGCAGAAAAAAACAAAAAAAAAACAGTAGTGCTTCAGAGGTGAATGGTCGAAAAAAAAGTTTTCCGAAATCATCGTACGAAAGAGAAAACATAAGAAAGTGGTTTTTAAAACTTATTTTTGTTCCACACAAAAAATTGCGGTTTTCTTTTGTGAAAGAACGAGAAAAGAGATTTTTGTTTTTCTCTAACAGTCTCTGTTGCTTTTGCGATCCCAAGAATCTGCTAACTGCTGAGAGCGACGGAACCGTCGATATAAATAAAGAAATCTCATTGCGGAGAAACTTGATTGTGAAACGCGAAAACAAAAAAACAAAAAAACAATGTCGGGAACCGCGAAAATTCGATCGGATGAAAATTTAAAACGCTCGAATTGTTCGCGAAAAATTCCCAATGACATTTCCAAATGTCACGCGCGAGAGAATCGAAAAGAATCTAACCTATTCCATCATTTCGCGTGATCCCTAACCTCTGTCTCTCTCCTTAAAGTACACGGTGCCAAATTGAAGAGCTCGAATCGAAAAAACCCACCCGGGCGAAGTTCGTAACTCGCGTGGAACGATTGCAATTTGATAGCGCGAGGATGCAGATGCGAGGAGTCCCGAAGACATCAATCACGCAGAGTTCACCCGCGGCGAATATGAGAAAGAAAGGATTATATTGATGAAAAAGCCTACGTGCTTGGAAAAGGTCAGCGTTGAATTCAAGAAATGCGGGAAGGAGATTTTAAAAAGCAAGACCAGTTTGATTCAAACTGTTCGAATCTCTCGCGGTGTTTATTTATTTTTCAAAAGAAAAACAAAAACAAAGCATTATATTTTTCGAGATAGATAGCAGAGAGAGAGAGAGAGAGAGAAACGGTTTGCGGCAAAAAGAATCCTCGATGTGGGCTGAAAAATACTAGAATTATTAAAAAGAAAAAGAAGGATATACTCGGTTGCGCATCGTCTCGCACAGAAAAAAAAACTCGCGACGCGCGATCGTGATCTCGTAACATACGGGGTCGGGTTTGTAAGACGTTGTTGGGGTACGTCAGCAAATCGGCGGAGCGGAGGCAGGCGCGGCACGGTGCGAGTCGGTGACGGTGATCGCGCGTAAAAATGAAATGGGGCATTGGGTGAAAGTATTTCGCAGCGACGGCGGCGGCGACGGCAACGGCGGCAAGCGAGCGTGCGAGCGAGCGAGCTTGCCTCTTATATCAGATCAGTACGGTAGGCGCGCCTCGTCATTACACGCGTTCGCGTCGCATTGTTCTTTCTGGCCATCGCGGCTCTCCCGATGACATCTTCTCCGTCAGTTGTTCTTCTGTCACGGGAATCCTGCTCTACGTTGCATTTCTGGACTATGCTGCCGACTTGGTAGCATTGCCACAATCTCGCTCAACCAACTGACATCAGCTTTATTCCCTGCCTGCAGAATGCTGTTCAACCTGTGGATCCTTTGTGTTCTCCTGTCACTGACCACTCTGGTCCCGGCACTGGAGAATGGTCTGGCCAGGACACCACCGATGGGCTGGTTGGCGTGGGAGCGATTCAGATGCAACACTGACTGCAAGAATGATCCCGACAACTGCATAAGGTGAGCACCTCAGAAGCCTGGACACTGTACGGATAAAGAGAGATACCAGACGGCCTAAAAATGTAGGAGAGAAGTCACAGCAATGTGGTTTTCTATGTTTCACAGTGACCGTCTCTTCCGGACTATGACAGACATAGTAGTGGCCGAAGGATATGCCGCGGTAGGCTATGAGTACATTAATGTAGACGACTGTTGGTTGGAGAAAGAAAGAGACTTACGTGGACAGCTTGTACCAGACAGAGAAAGGTTCCCATATGGCATGAAGAGTCTGTCAGATTATGTAATTCAGTGTTTGTTGTCACTAGTGATGCTTAGTTTTAGTATGAATCTCTACTTAAAAGTTTGTTGATTGTGTAAAAATCAACATGATAGTCTATTTTCTAGAATCACAAATTTGCTCGTAGTTTTTTTTTTTCTGTAACTGTGCGTTATCTAATCGATGAAAAATTACTGCTGGTCAGGTGCATTCAAAGGGCCTGAAGTTTGGCATTTATGAGGACTATGGTAATTACACCTGTGCCGGTTACCCGGGTATTTTGGGTTATTTGGACGTAGATGCTGCTACATTCGCATCCTGGGATGTGGACTATGTGAAATTAGACGGATGTTACTCACATCCGTCCGATATGGACAGAGGTACAGTTACGTCTTATAAATAGTCAATGTGAGAATACTCTCTCTTAAAAAAATGAATAAATTAGAATTAAAATGAATGTGACACACTCGAAGGCTATCCCGAGTTTGGATTTCACCTGAATCAAACTGGAAAACAAATGATCTACTCCTGCAGCTGGCCTGTTTATCAAATCTATGCTGGTATGCAGGTTAGTATCATCTCAATAGATCTGATTTATTTCTACAAATATTTTTGATGTTTGCCGAATTTTCAGCCAAACTACACAGCAATAGCTGAACACTGCAATCTCTGGCGCAACTTCGACGACATTCAAGATTCCTGGGCTAGCGTGGAAAGCATCATCGATTACTACGGTAACAATCAAGACACGATCGTGTCCATCGCCGGTCCTGGACATTGGAATGATCCGGATATGTTGATTATCGGCAACTTCGGATTGAGCTATGAACAGAGCAAAACGCAAATGGCGATCTGGGCTATATTAGCGGCGCCATTGCTTATGTCTGTAGATCTCAGAACAATCAGACCGGAATACAAAGCTATCTTGCAAAATAAGAAAATTATTGCTGTAGATCAAGATCCGCTAGGTATTCAAGGTCGAAGGATATACAAAGTGAGTGATGAAAAGTAAACAATTTATATGGATGTGAAAAATTTGTTACGAGTTAATTAAAATGGGAGATTAATTATTAGCTATTTGTTCCGACACGTGTTACGTCGATAATTGTTTATCAAAGTCATCGGAATATATTCATTTTATTTACGGCAACTTGTACAATTGCAGCACAAAGGCATCGAGATTTGGGCTAGGCCCATCACTCCGATTTATCAAACCTACTATTCCTACGCAATCGCGTTCGTCAACAGGCGAACAGACGGCACGCCATCGGACGTGTCGGTCACACTAAAAGAGCTGGGTTTGCAGTACCCGGGAGGATATCGAGTGGAGGTAACGTAACAAGTGGCGTCTAATCAGGAGAAAGTATCTTCCAGTCAGTTCGTCGAGAAGATTCCGGGTTTATTACAACCGTGCGTTTTTTCCCAGGATCTGTACGAGGACGTGGACTACAGCGTACTGACACCGCAGACCAAGATTAAGGTCAAAGTAAACCCATCCGGTGTGGTGATCTTGCGATGTGATCTAAACATAGAAGACGTGTTTCGCTACTCGCAGTATTCGTCTTTAAATCAAGTCTACAAAGTTAGGCAAAATTCATTTAAATGATCGTACGCGTCTGAAGTATTACCAAATTTCGCGTTTTTTTTATATGCGTTACATATATGTTCTTTATTAACATATTATATAAGGCATAATAGGAAATAAAAAGAATTTTATAAACTTTATATATATATATATATATATATTTTCTTTTTTTTACATATACATATACAGGGTGACAAATTTTGACAGAGCCGAAGTGTGAAGATAGATTGAGTCAATTTGAACAGAAAATTCATATGTTCCAGTTGCAACTAAACTATATTCGTACTAAATCGGCTTGGTCTTTTAATGATGTAATGTCATATTAAGATAATACAATACGCCTCTTCACGCTTATCGTATCAAAATGATACGCGTATCAAAAGCACATTTATAATGGTGTAAACACCAGAATTATACATTGAAAAATAAATTTTGTTTGATTTGCGCACCAAAAAGATTACGGTGTAAACTAGGCTTACACATGTAACTTACATATTTAAATCACTACATTATATTATTATATTTTTTTACATCTATTTATTATTATTATTATTATTATTATTTATTTTAAACATGTTTGTGCGCGTACAAGAACAATGTAAACTACGTAAGGATGCGCGCGTATATTTGTTCAGCACTATATACATGTGTTTACGTGTGTGTGTGCGAAATCTTTCTGCGCTCTTCCAAACCCTTTCGACGTTTGTAACGCGTCATCAGGATCCGCAAAGGATCCACAAATAATATCGCGGAGGAAGAGAGAAGAAATGGGAACGGGGGACAAAGAGAAAACACGCGCGCGTTTGTGTTACAGGGTGGCTATTATAAATTCATTGCAGCTGTGTGCCAAGTTATATGTTTCTTGCACACCTACAACCTATATCCACCTACCCGCAGCTCGCACGCAAAACATATCTTTCTACACCCACTCTTTCGCGTCCGCCCTTTCCTCCCTCTTCCGCTGCTGGGGTAATGCGTCACGGCGACGCCCGCGTCGCGTCGCGTCCCCTCTCGTGCGCGTGCTCCCTTCAACCCCTAGCGGAGTCGCAGCCATTGTCGGAGAATCGTTCGTTCGGTCGGTACGGTATTCCTCGCGGAAACGTGCGTTTTATCGGTGACCGCGACCGCTTTCCGCGAATATATCTCGAGCCGCGAGAGAAAACCGTAAAAAAAAAAAAAAAAAACGGGCGAGTGAAGAAAGAGAGAGAGAGAGAAAGAAAAGAAAAATTACGGTGCTCGGCTCACGGCGAGGCGATGTGATAGGGTGAATCCCAGTTTCGTCGGCGCGATGAAACGCGAACACCCGCGCGACGCCGATTCAGCGCGAACACCACAGATATTGTCACGAGCATCAGCACCAGTACCGGCCTTCACCGCCGCCGTCTCCGACGCCGTTGCTGTCATCGCGCTGCTGCACCACCCTCTTGCTGTCACGGTCGTGTGTTGTCTCACAACGAGCATGAAGATTCCGCCTCTTTCATGACCCAGGTAAGACTTGAAAAAGAAAAAAAAAAAAACGGAGCATTTTCGTCAGCAAGACACGCGGATGTCAATCCGGTGCTCGTCCTCGGTCTGTTTCTTCGTCCTGTGCGATCTGTTTTCTCTTTTACTCGAGACGACGATCTCGCGCGACATGGCGGCCGGCTTGAACGATATGCGCGTAAATAATGCGGTATCTCCCAGAGAAATCGAGAGTTCGCTTATTCGCGAGCGAGAGAGAAACGCGCTCCGTTTCACGTGATAAGAGTGATTACGGCGTTATCAATATATATTGATGCAGAGAATGGAGCACGCCGCAATCAATACGCGCGCGCTACTCTCGGACGTGTGTGCGTGTGTGTGTGTGTACGTTGTACCTCACGCTGGTCACTCCGATGATTTTCGATTGTGTCGTTCGATTTCGCAAAATCTATATGCAATTCTTTATCGGAGTGTTCCAAGTCTTTGCGGTCGCTGACGCGTTCTTCGGAATTTTGCACATTTCGATCGGGACGAGTGTGAAAAGTCTCGCAAGCTCGAACTAGCTAGTCCTAGTCATTGACGTAAGACGTATAAGGCAATTCGCATGAATGAATAATGGCGCCATATCGTTTTGAACGGTGTGACGCGTTTTTTAATGCTGGTGTGTCACACAATCGGAGTCGCGAAGGTAATCCGCGTTGTGGTTATACACACGTAACGAGATTTTATACGTTCGATTGGTGAAACACATCTTCTTCTTCTCGTCTCGCTCTCTCTTCGAACGTGGCGAAATATCATCAAAACAGTGTTCGCGGATCGTTGATATTCAAAGAAGTCATTGATTTCTCTTCTCGAATCACACGTAACGTTCATTAGAGACGTCTCTAATGGACGTTCGTAACTCCATGTGACGTCTAATGAAGTTCTAATGGAAGTTTGTGCGGAATGTTGGTTCCGTGTTTCGAGATACGTCGCGTATCAAAGATTCAAGGAAACGGAGGTGTGTGTTCGCTCGATTGCAGATTGAATTAACAGCTTCTGCGTTTCAAGAAGTGAAACGTTAGATTTATACCATTGAACAATGAGTTGGAGGACGGAATAAAACACAGGTGCTTGAACAAGCGTTATGTAACTCTCATTGTGTGTTGTTATTTGCACATCTCCGCGTGGATGTGTTTTTTTTTCTTATATCCGCTTTACTTCCATAATATTAGGGATAATTAACATTACTTACATACTTTTAATAAAGCGGCGTGTGAGAATCGCAAACATCTTTTTATTCTCTTCCCGTCGTCGTCGTCGTCGCGTTTTCCCGTTGCACATTGTAGCAACCATTGTTTTCTCGCGAAAAAAAAACGATTGCAATTGAATCTCATTGCGATTCGACATCAGATATCGCGATTGATGCAAATTTATTCATCGCGTCGTTTGGCTTAATTAATTACGTTGAAATCGGTTATTTAAAACCGCATCTCTACCTACTACGCTGCGAAACGAGATAGAGAGAGAGAGAGAGACGAATAGAGAGAAAGATAGAGATAGAAGATATGGATCGGTATTATATTAAAATTGTCATCTCAGGAATCGTTCGATACCCTCTGGAGCGCTCTGTATTTATCATATTTCGTATGTAGGACGGCGCAGATAAATCGATACGCGGCACTTTCATTCATGGCTGCCCTCTCTCACGGTTGGCACATTGCCGTTGCCTCTACGTGTACCACCCACGCGTTGCCGAGACCACCACACATTTATACAACCCACCCGTTACGTAGTACGTAGTCCAACCTGCGGTGACACAGTGGTTCTCCGTTTCGTCGACGCGTTCATATATTGTATACACGATGTGTACATATAGGTACATTGCACACTCGAAGGATAATGAATCTACGTTGCGCAAGTTAACACTTTTTACCCGCGACAATTTGTACGTGTGGCTGTATCTTTCGCTCTAAGTGTGTTTTTAAAAACTCACGGTAATCGATCCAGATGTTCGCGCGTCAATTAGCCGCGAAAAGAAAAATCTATGTCTTCTTCTTGTTTATTATCAATTTAAAAATCTATGTATTAAAAAAAATTAATAAATAAACTGGTATCTCTTTTTTCCAGGACACGGAGACAATTTTCTTTTTTTTTCTGTTTAATTAAGCAAGGGGAAATTGAATCAAAAGCCGAGTATATGTATATACTTTCGATATGTCAATTATACTGCGGTAGGCCCTTAGTCCTTGAACAGTTGACGTCTCGTGACGTAAGCACTCGCGTGTGGGATGCATTTTTCATTCTATTTTTAAATCGTTATCACGAGCAACATATGGACGAGTCTCTTTATTCTCGATACGCGCGGGACATCGGCAAACAATACAAGCCGACGATAATTCAGTCGCTCGCGCATTGACTGAAAAGAGACACGTGATGGTCGATGTATAAAAGTATAAATTACAATTGCGTGTGTTTAATATTTTTAAACGAGCGATCGGAAAAAGAGACGATTCCTTTCAAGGTCCGCGCCAAAGAATCCTGAAACCCCATTGTCACGCGCTTCCAAATCTGACATAGGAGACCGCGCGCGCTCATTTCCTCGCGTGTTCGCGTTTTCCGAAGGGATCGAAGTTGAGCCGAAAGTTGAGCGATATTTCGTAATTACGTATATCCATGTGTGTGTGTGTGTACGCATTATTTGCGCGTTACTCGGAAGCGGTGAGAGCAACAGAGACGGGGCGCACACGTCGATATTTCATACGTCGACTTTCATGCGTCCGGTCGTCCATCCGCGTCCAAGCGTGCCAGAGAGTGACGACAGTTGACATTAGTCGTCGCGCACGAGGCGTCTTTAAATTAGTTAAACTGGTGCACCGACACAGACTAACCCAGTTGTGCGAAAGAGGGAATATCGAATAAATACAGCGCGCAGCCGCGTATCGGGCAATCGCGAACGGGATACGCGCACACATACGCGCGCGGCCCTTCTGTTCTTCTCTCGCGCGTTCCGACTGAGATGATGACGAACCGGGAAAAGTGGAAGGGGGAAGGGTTGCTCTTTGAAGTCGGTCCATCTGCCTCCGTCGGCGTTCGCCACAGCACACAATGCGGAGCTGGCGGCGGCGGCGGCGGCGACGGCGGCGCGAGTGGAGAACAGCCCTCGTGCCACAGGCGGATTTTCCGCTCGGTTACGTTCGCAAAAGGATCTATTTAAAGGATCGGTTGTCCGATCGGTCGCAATTTTTGAGCTCCCGAGGTCGTTTTTGACGCGTGTCCCGGGCCGCGCGTTGCATTCCCGCGCACGTTTCCGCATTCTTCACGTCTCTCGTAGAAAAAGAAGTCTCCTCGTGTCTCGCGCTGCACATCCCCGGAACGTCGTTCCCCATGGAAAAGAGCGTCGTCGATCTCATGACGTTTCTGGACATTTGCCAGCTCTACCTGCACACCAGAAAGAAGTCCCGGAATCTCTGCACCCTCTGGGCGATCGTGACGTTTATACGCACGGAGGACACCGGCGATTTTCTGCGATGGTGTCGCGCGTACACGGTGCCCCGCTTGCGGTACCGTAGGGATCGCCCGAAGAACGCGGAAAACGCGGAGAAGCCGAGAACCGACAAGCTGTTGCTCAGATTGCTGCAGGAGTTGTTCTATTGCGGATGTTTGCCGCCGTGCGATATCGGTCTATAAGATACGCGCGTCATCGCGAGTATATATATACCGTGTCGTGGGTGAAGTAAAATCGAGCGCGTGTGGGACACGCGGAAGAATCTCCCCCGAACTATATTATTTACATTTCAAACGGTCGTCCTCGGAAAAAGCAATATATCAGACCTACCGAAGAAGTTCCGAAAACCCGATCCTCCCCGATTACAACACACTTGTTGACAAATGTCCACATTTCCGAGATTTCTATTTCCGGGATGGTTATATTGTTACAACCGCCCCCAACATGAATACAGTGCAGCTGTTCGTGAAAGAAAGAAAGACAGGAGAGTTGTCTTCACGACGGTTGTTTGATCAAAGATCTTGAATCGCCAATTGGAGCGATTCGTGCGCGCAGCTCTGATTCTCTCCTTTCGGATTCATTTCTGTATTAAATATCGGAACGTGTGTGTTGTATTTTAGTATGTGTTAATAAAAAGAGTGTGTTATATTTTAGTTCCGTTATATACATATTTTTAGATTTTTATCCGATACTTCGCGATAACGACAATTTACATGGAAAAGGACCACATTTAATAGTAAAAACGTTTGTCATTCTATACATGTACGTAATAAATGATTTTTAACGCACGATCAACCGTGTTCCCTGCTCCCATTCGTCTTTTTACATCACACTTTATTTGGAGCAACTTTTAGTTTAACATCTTTCGAGTTCAATAAAAAGTGTTTTTTATAAAAGAGTTTTTTTCTCAATATTTTAAAATTAGTTAGGGGGGTATTCGGGGTTTTTCATATGTGAGATGCAAATCCAGCATCCCGTATGATTTTAAGAATTGAGATTTCAATTAAAAAAACACTTGTAAAAATTTACAAGTAGAATTCGTTACATGTATATATATATATATATGTACACACACAGTTTCCGCACAAACATCCTGCGAATGGCTCGTATGGCCTTATATATTTCTTGTTGACAATTTCAACTAGCCTTAAGTCTTAATTGTTTGTTTTTTTTTAATCCTTCTCGTGTGACATTTGCTCCAAAAACCGCGTGTTACGCCTCAGACGCAATATCTACATAGTCGCACGCCATCTTCCGCGCGTATATTTTTCTACCAAAATGTCTCCGCGATATATCCCGCCAAATATTGTTCGAAATCGCATTTCGCATTCTTCGAGCGCGTTCGTTTCCACGCGTGATACGATGACGTATCGATGACGAAACACCGTTTCTCTGTACAGCATCGTGAGCGCACATGTGGACGAGGGATAAATCAGCTTAGCGAGAGGGATGTCTGAGAGCGACGGAGAGCATGCAGCTCGCTCGGTGGCCTTAGAGCAAGCCTACGTCCACGAAGTATACGAGCAATGCGCCGAGAAAACCACGCAAAGTAAACACTGGCCACGGGTGTATCAGTTTCTTCAGGAGCTCGAGCCCGGTGCTCTCGTCTGCGATATCGGTTAGTTCAAAACCTTATACACAAATTTTTGCCGCATGTGTATGCAATTAAGATGTAGATGTTTGAGTTATAGACATGAAGCTATTTGCCGTATCGATCGCGTCAACAAGACAAATTTACGCGAAGAATTCGTCGCGCGCGTTGCGCACACATTAGATAGAATTTGTGCTCTGCTCTAGATATCCGATAATATTAGATGTGTATACATGTATTGTGCATTTACTGTGTCCGTAATAATGTTACTCCCTTATTATGAAGGTTGCGGTAACGGGAAATATCTCAGCGTAAATCACAGCATCTTTAAAATAGGAGTCGACCGATGCAAGCGTTTTACGGACATCGCGCGAGAAAAAGAAAACGAGGTATACAGCATTTCTCAATTGTTGACTTAAATATTTGACGATTATGTCGTGCATATGTCATTTGTAAGAATTTAACAATATTTTAAATTATGTTGGTGTATTTAAACATTTATGTGAAATGAATAAGGATTTTGCAGTGTCTGATGGTTGATCAATAGATGATTGTTGATTTAAGCATACATTAATTAATTAATTGAAAGATGATTTAAAATAAAATCGAGACAGATGTATTGATACACTGCAATTTGATATATTATTTGCATTCTGCAATTTCAAATATTCGCCGAATTTGTATTATGTCATCTATTGACAACAAACAAACAATGCAAAATCTTTATTTATTTCACATAAATGTTTAAGTACATACACCAACATAATTTATATGTTCAGTCTAAAATTACTCTTTTTAAAAGCTCTTATTTTTTCAAATAAATTCTGAATCGCGTTAAAAAATCTTTTGGAATACAAATTCAAAATGTTTTTTTTTTTTCTAAAATTGTCAAATTAATATTAAAAAAAAAACGTACTTTATTCATAGAATTTTCTTTCTGCATTTGTGATAAGGTTTTGATTTGTGACAATCTGGCCCTGCCGTTCCGGGAAGAGAGTTTCGATGCGGTGCTGTCGATCGCCGTGGTGCATCACTTCGCTACCACGGAGAGAAGGGTACACGCGTTGAAGGAATTAGCCCGGGTTCTCAGGATCGGAGGCAGACTCGTTATATCCGTCTGGGCTATGGAACAAAAACATCGAAAAGTAAGAAAGAACTTGAATCGAGCTTTTCTGTTTTACATTTTCGTTCGAACCGTCCGAATTGCATTTGTTGCGTTTTCATTGTTTGCAGTTTGAATCGCAAGATGTTTTAATACCATGGCCCAAGTCGTATTGCATGAGCGGGGGTTCAGACGGAACGAAGCATTCGAGCGCATCCGACGGTAACGAGAAGCGAGATGAGAACGTTACTCAGAAACACACATCATCTTCCAAAAAGTGAGTTTTTCCAACAGGAAAATACGGCAATCAATTATATCGTCAATTATATTTAACAAATTATATTTAACAAATTATACCACAATGCGTTCTCGCGCAGGTTTCATTTATTTTTTTGTTATTTCTCGCGCGAGCGTTGAATGTAGGTCATACGTGTCATGATTTCTCGTTCCAGAAATAGCCAACGAAAATGCAAAAGCAAGAGTTATTGGATCGATCCGATATTTAGCCTGTCACCATCCACCAGCAGCCTCTCTAGTCCGAATGAGACCTGTTATAGTTGTTTCCGGAGAGCACTACAGGTAACTAGTAACTATTACATAAACATCTACAACAATTTTGAGCCTGGAAAATTGACAAAAATTAAACTGCGATAATCGAGCGTTTATTGAGTTTTAAAATGTACACATTGGCGTTGTTTTCTTTTCTGAGAGAGATGCTAGTTATCGGAGATTATTTAATGTCAAGAGTACTTCAATTTCTTTTTCCATTTACTCTCTACTTTGTTACGACAATAAAGGGACTTAGAAGAGAAATTAATAACATTCTTTTTTTCACTTGTCGCTATATTTTGAAATTGAACCAATAATAGACTTTCGATGAATTATTATTCACGCTCGCTGTGATCGGAAAATATGCTTGATTTTTTGCAGAAACTAGCGAGAAGCAAACGCGGAAGTGGCGCTTGGTTTCCTGGAAGTTGGCAGAGCAGCACCAAGAGCCGGCGACACTGCGACTCCGAGGACATGACCGACGTGGACGATCTACCGATCGAATTACGTCGCGTGGAGATCACGCACACGCTGACGATGACGAACAAGCACTCGGCGGACACGCTGAGCATCAAGTCCAAGAGCCTCGGCGACATCCTGGAGATCGAGCGGCTCGATCTGGTGCGTTCCCGGTCAAGCATCCCCGGTTTCTCTTCATCCGAGCTGGTTCTGGACGAACGATCGGTCTCGTCTTCGTCGAGCGGCTCGAAGCCACGGCTGGTCAAACAGAAATCGTGCGTGGAAGAAACCGGCTTGGAGAATCCCGAAGACACTGCCATTGAAAATTTGATCAAGGATCTTCCGAACTTCTCCTGTCAGCCGTTGCGCAGGCGCAACGTGCCGTTGAAGCAGAGCTCGATGAACGAGGAGCTGATGTCAGTGGATCGTTTGGAGGAGAAGGAACGAGTGCGCCGAAACATCATGAAGCAGGCGTCGCTGAACGAGGAGCTCATCTGCAAATGGCGCACGTTCGAGGCGCTCAAGGATTCGATCAGCCCGGTGAACGCCAGCCGGCGCTTTCAACTGTTAAAAAACGGACTTACCAGCAAGATCAAGCGCTCCACCACCAATATCGAAAAGGTCTCCAGCATGTCCATTAAGAACGGCTTTGTGCGAATGCTGCAGGGATGGAAATCCGGTGAAAACGAATCGGTATCCGTTACGACGACAGCGGAGACAACAACGATATCGAAACCGGCGGACAATAAGGTGCAACCAGTAACGGTTATGAAACGCAGCATCGAGGGCGTCGAACGTCGCCTTTCACGCGAGGACGGCTCGGACTCGTCCAAAGACAGCAGTCTACAGAGTGATACAAGCGTCGACTCTGAGGACAGCTTCGCGTCGGTGATTTTCGTGCCGAAGCCGGACGTTGCTGCGCCGGCGCCATCGGCATCGTCTACGGTAAACGAGGTTCCTTCCGCGTCGCGTCCAGCAGCGCTGCAACTCGCAACGACATCGGCACCGCCGTCGCCGCGCGTTAAACAACCGCCGGAAGGCGGTCTATCCTCTAGATTTAAAGTGATCGGTGTGTCACCGTTGCTGAAGCAAACGTCAACTGTCGTAAATACAAATACAAATACGAATACGAATACGAATATAAATACAAGTACGAATACGAGTACGAATACGAATACGAATACGAATACGAATATGAATACGAATCATCCGAGTGAAACGGTGAAAACCGGCGCGGAAACGTTTGGAAACACTTTGCAGATGTCGTCACGAGGACTCTGTCTGGTACCCGAACCGACTGAGTCCGAGGCGGAGCCGGACACCGCACCACTGCTACGTGCCTTCAGCGACGTTACCAAGACTCGTGAACCGGTCATAAACGAAGATGACAACCGAAAGGCCAGATTAAATCAAATCAAGGAACTGCTCATAGCGAAACCAGGTTTCGCGACGCGTAGCAGACCGTCGTTTCCATTAGTTAGACGAGCCTCCACGGCAGCCTCGGGTCGTCTGGAGACCGTAACGAGGATTCTGCCGCGTCTACTTTCTCTGGAGTTGTTCAATCCAGAGACCGACGACCTGGATAGCGACTCGAGCGGTGTATCGTCGCCGGAATCGGTCGGCTCGGTAATCAGCGTTACGTCGGACGAGAAATATATCGCGAGAAAAGAAGCCGAGGAAAAGAAGAACAGCGCGCAAAATGTGACGGACGAAGAAGCCTCCAAATCGAACGGGGACGACGTGTCCGAGAAGACGAAGGAAACGGAAAATCTGCGCGACGACGAATCATCGTCGAGTCTGGGAACCATCACAACGACAGTCGAAAATTCAAGCGCGCAATCTCCAAATCCTCTGTATGAGGATTCCACATCGTCCGTGGATTTGGAGAATAATACGTCTTTCGCGGAAATCGAAATGACACGCGACGCTTCCCAAGATAGTCTAGGAATCGACGCAATCCGCTCCACGTCGCGCGTTCTTCTCGAGAGCGGAAAGACCATATCCTCGCAATCGATGAAACTTCTCGAAGCCGCTGCAAATGTGGCGAGCTCTCTGGAAGACGCCGTAGGGGCGGCGATTCAACGCAACAGCCAACCGGAACAATCATTCTCGCAATCATACTCGCAGATTGCGCAACGAAGGAATAACGACGCTGTTTGGTCGCAGTCAAATGTCCGAACGCGAGCGTACTTGAAGCACGATCGTAAGTCCGCCTCGGTGGATCTGAGCGGCTACACCAACGAATCGAGCAGCGATCTCATACGAGACATCAGTCGGTATTGCCAGAACTCGTCGTTCGATATTTTTGGAGTCCACCCGACGTCGCAAACCACGCCATCGTCGCTGGGTGTTGTGGACAATAATTTGGCCGCGGAATCGAACACTACGGCCTGCTGGAATGACTGCAATCAAGTGCCCAAGGAAACCTCGTGGATCATAAACGAAGCGTACAACAAACCCGAACACGAGAAGTTCGCCAGTGCAATCCAATCCGAACCGACACCGAGACCCAAAAACATCTGCGAGAATCACTCTGTGCTCCAGCCTAACTTTGACAGTAATAGGTCAAAACGAGAATTTAAATACGAAGTTCAGACTGAAAACAATAAGCTCAGACTCAATCCTCAATCTAGCGAGAAATCGAAATCCAAATTCGACGTTGTGTCCAGATTCGAGCCTGGATCCTACACCACATTTGCGTGCGATATCAAAGAAACGATCGTCCATTCCAAAGACGAGCTTAATTCCAAGAACACGATCAATCTTCAATCCGGCATCGATTCTAAATCCAACGTCGATCAGGAACGACGTTGCTCCAAAACCTCGCCGTTGCTGCGCAGCACTTCCGACGACATACTGGACTTCGTGATGGTGTCGAAAACAGGCGAAGAATTCGAATGCGAGGACGCGGTAGAGTTGAAGACAACCGGAAACAAATGGCATTCTTCCCAGGACGGATTGTCGGTAGGTTCGAGCGACGTGGGCGACTCTCTAATGGAAAACACAACGACGAGCTTGAGCGACGGCAGCCAGGCGGAGTGCTCGACGGCGAGACTGTTCACTGGTAGCACGGTGTCGTTGGTGTCGAATCTGAATGCGGAGAACAATCGTCGATCATCGGTCGAGCGACGGAGACTGCAGGAACGCGGCCGATCGTTGGATGAGATGTCGACCGAGGCGAAGAAACGTGACGCGGATTGTTTGGTCACCACGAGCACCACCGATTCTCTGAGCAACGCGTCGTCCCAGGAGTCACTGCCCTCCGATCGCGGCGGCGGCTCGATCACTTATCATCAATACTACCACGTCTTTCGGGAGGGCGAGTTGGATCAGCTTATCAACAAGTACGTTCAGAATCTGCATATCATCTCATCGTACTACGACCACGCAAGTTGGTGCGTCGTCGCCGAGAAAGTGCAGGTTTGGACTATATGACTTCAAATATGGATCAACGAGTGAAGGACCAGCGGCTGTGAATGGTGTTTAATATTTCTCGACGCGAGTCGCGATTCGTTTTCGCGTCTCTCGCAACTCGACTTTGCCAACCTGTACCGGGTGTCTTGACGAAGAATAAGAATATCAACTAGACGGGATCAACTTTTTGAAAAAATTTGCATTCGCTTAGGTTTCGCCCTTCAGTCAAGAATATATAGTTCCTCATGTAAACGAATTTATATAAGGAAAAACGAGCCGCAAACAGATTTAAATCTAAAAAAAAAAAATGCTAAAAGTTTACAATTCCTGTATGTATGTACAACTTCTTGTTAATTTTCTCTGACGCTTTGCGGTTCCCCCATGCTGTTTAGATTTTAAATTAAAGAGAGAGAGAGAAAGAGAGAGAGAGAGAGAGAGAGATGGGTTTGGAACTATATTACTTTTGAGATCGAGTATTGATCCCTTTTTTTTGGGACATTGTGTGGCGGGCTGAGTGCGCAGACAAAAATCTCGCTTCGAGTACGAGGTTTTACGACTCTAAATCCATGGATCTAAGAGTCTAAGGACCTCAGAATTCAGGGGTCCAAAGAATCCAAGGATTTAAAGGCTCAAGTATTTCGTAATAATTCGAGTACGTAAAATCTATAAAGTATAATAAATACACGCGAGTTGACTTTTTAACGATTCGTTCTCGAAAAAAAAACTCTGCGACGATCTATATCGCTGTTAAAAAATATTTGCTTTACGCTCGTTGAACATTCTCCTTTCACGTTTGTCTCATCATGAAAAAAAGAGATTTCTCCGTTCGCGACGTCACTAAAGTGCTGACTCGAAGAAAAGTATATACACTGTATATATATATATAATTTTAAAAACTTCACGAAAATTAAGGACAAGCAACTAATCCACCGAGTATCGTCGTTGGTGTATCACCCAATTTAAAAGTTAAGAATATTCCAATAAACGCGATAGATATCGATAACACGTAATTTTTTTTAATGCAAATAATATACCACTAATGTTGCAACAAGAGATTTGATTTTTTTTTTTTTTTTTACATTCGACTCTCGTGCGCGTACTCCATCTTCACTTCAGTGACGTTTCGGAACCGCTCATGTGTCACTTATCGCACGCGCATACCTTGAAAACAACGATTGTGAGTATCACGATTCTTTGAGGGCTCGATGAGAAGAATGTGAAAGGGAAGCGAAAGGAAACTCTCGATGCGAGAGTTTCCCTAAAAGGGTGGTGCGATCTAAGCGTTATATATGTTGTGCGTTAAAAACGTAATAGAAAAAAAAAAAAAAAAAAAAAAAGAAACTTTCAGAACTGTCAAACCGACTCTTCGCTATGAGGAGTACATATTTTCTAGCTTCTCGAGAAACCGACAATATCCGAATGCTTCAAACGTAGATATACCTCAATAATGCGAACATTTCACTTCCAAAGAACGTGTAAATGTATACGTTTACACACATACATATGCGTAACGTACACGTGCGCGCGAGAGCGCATACACACGAACACACGTACACACACACGGAAAAAGATGTCTCTTATTTGTAGCAATTTATTGGCACTAATACGATACATCGACGTTAGATTAATATTTGCATTAATATTAATTATTGGCATCTCATAAAATTGGCAAGTACAGACAATCGCAAACGACGAAAGAATACGGAAATGTGGCACAAAAATCAAAGAAAAATATCTTAAAGACGTCTATCTAAATTATCTTAGTCATCTTTTTGATATCTTTCGGATGTCTTTTGTGCGCTGTTGGGAATTGTTAAAAACAAAAATCAAAACCAAAATAGATACAACGACGTTTATATATAACGCGTGAATAAGAGACATCCTACATACGCATACACATATGGCATATACGTACATACTTACGTGATATATACATATATATATAATATATTAGAATATAAGGATTCAAGGAATCAATAATCTAAAAATCGAATGCTTATATCCTTGGATTTTTTCTCTCTTTGCTTAAAAATTTTTATTCTCTTTAAAAAAGCTTTACTTACTTGTTGAATTTTTGTGGTACCGAATTTTCTTTCGTTTCTTGGATTCTTGCAAATTATTGAAGTATACTATTTATTAGTTTTTAATTAATTAATTTTTTGCGCACCGCAACGCGTTAATATCTTTAAGGATAAAAAGAAAGATTTTTTCTCTACGGCGACGTGTGTGTGCGCATAGAGAAAGAAACCCTTTCCCTTCGAAATTGATACATCGCAACGCGCGTAGTGTGCACAATCGTGCTTATATCTTTGAATCTTTTCACACTTAAATCTTTTTTAGATTTCTGTGCGATTCTTCAAACTAAATGATTGTATGAAATTTCCAAAACGTGTTGAAATTTTAATTTTTTAATTTGTACACAATGAAATATTCAATAATATCCAAGGATCCAAGCATCCGCGTACACCAATACGTATATTCACACCTCATATAGAAAAGAAAAACATATAAGTGTAATCTAAGCTTTGTTATTTTTATGAACTCAATTAATATTGTGTCCATCGTTCTTAGTTCTTTAAACGAAGTTTTTATTGTAACTCTTTAAACCAGTCATTTTGCATTTCAATAAAATTTTTAATAACAATGTGCATGCGATATTCTGTAGAACGCGTTGTGCAACAGTTTGTGATATCTCTCAACCGTTGGAAGCGCTCGCTCGACGGATCGAAAATCAAGACAAAAGTTATTATAAACGGTTGCGCAACGATTACGTCTTCTGCCGAATGCTGCCGATGTACCGATTATGTTCAAGACTTCGGCAAGAAAAGTTAAATTCTCTATTATTATTTCCGGCTTTTGTGGTGATAGAATATAAATGAAATATGCAATAAGAGAAAAGTTCGAAAAGATGAGGAGGAAGTAAAAAGTAGATACAATGCGGTGCGCATGAGTTTGGAACTGTTGGTTAAAAAGTAAAATCGTTTGGTCGACGAGAAAAGCCGCTATTCTAAAGAACTGTTTAGTTAGTTTATTTAGCAAACACATTTTAGCAAATAGCTGACGATGATTCTTTTCTAATTTCTGAAACTTCGAGTCATATGTACTGTATTTAATTCGCGAAGGAGAGGAAGCATGTGAAAAAAAAAAAAAAAAGTATGAACGTATGTGTATGCGCGCGAGATTGAGAGAGCGGGAGAGAAAGAGACCAACGCGGGAGATGTAATCTCATAATTAAATAAACACACACATGTAAATATGTAAAATAAAGTGTTCCTGACGTAAAACGCACAGAAAATCGTCAGAAAATAGTTAACAAGCGACAATACTGAATAAAAATTATTTGCCGGACCTTTTGTTCCGCATACGGAACACGTTCTATACAAACCTCCGTTAGATGTTGGACACGTATCATATTTGAGTTACGGGCGTCCATTATGAATGTGTGATTTTCTCTTTTTGTCCTATTAAATATTTAAGTATATTTTTAAATCGGTATCTGTAATAATATTGTTTATTAGTTTTTATTATTTTTATTTAGTGTTTTGAATAGAATATTACGTGCTTCTAAATGAGGCATTTTGTTTAATGTGGTCAGAATCTTATATCTTTGTTATCTAAGGTTCTGATTCGTGCTGTCGCGGTTCAAATCGTTGCTACGAAGATTTTCTATGCGCGCGGTCAGAAATCTCTGCAGTGAAGATTCAAACCGATTTAGACAAGAGACCAAAAATTAGTATCATATTATTGTTTCGTAACTTTAAAGCAATAATATGAAAAAAAACATTATTTAAATATTTTTATCATTTATTTATGTAATAACTTGTTTTTATTTGTTATATATAACTCTTGTTTACTTATTCTTCAATCTTTTATTTAATTACACTACAAGTATGTTGCAGTGTGTAAGCGAATTGAGAGAAGAAAGATACAGAAAAAAATTAGAAGAATAATTATTAATTCTAATTACCTTTTATTCCAAAATTGTCAATATATTGATTAAATACTGCAAATGCATAATTCATCTAATTGCTGCTAATTCATAGCTCATAATACATATAATTTGCGTGTAATTTGAAACAGTAATTATTTGAAATTACACATCTTTAGTGAGAAAATTTGCTTAATTATATATTACGTGTACTGCGCATGTGTTCTCGACAAAATAGTCTTACTTGCAAAAGAGTTTTCTTTACAAATTCAAGGTTTTCAAGAAAGCGCTGAAATATCTTTTATGTAATAATTTATATTCATTAATACATCTTGTAAAACACAAGCGTATCTCAAAGAAGCTAACCGTGTCGTCGGCGTTGCTCGACCCCGGCGGCGGCGCGATACTTCGTTCGTATTCGCCACACCGTCGCCGCCGCCGCAGCAGCCTCGGCGAGAGGCTCTTGCGGTGGCGCGTGTCCGGGTAGCGCAGTGCACAGTCGACCGTCAATCTTTCCGTACGCGGGAGGGTGCGAGTGGGCACCGTTGGTCTCGGACTCTTTTTATCAGTGTTCTGTTTTCCGTGATTTCCGTTGTTAGTTTCGCGTTTTTGATTCATCGTTGTTTCTCATATATTTTCTTCTTCTTTCCCTTTCTCTCGTTCAGTCGAGAGAGGACGATCAACGATTTTCGCAGACTCCATTCTTGGGGAGAGATCCCGGACCGTCGTACACAGATTTTATTTTTCTCGTCCGTTCCGCGATGAACGGAGACGCGAGGAACGAGCAACCAAGCCCCGACAATGCCGACGCTTCCTCGCTCAGCGCTGACATCCTCAACCCCTTCGTACATCGGCTCGAACTCGACTCGACCTACGACAAGCTCAAGGTCAGTACCTCTCTCGAAAGCGGCTTCTTCCCAGGATCGATGCTCGTGCAAGCGCGTTTTAGGGGATGCCACACCGTTGCCGCCGCCGTCGCCACCGCCGCCTCCACCACCGCCTCCACCACCGCCGCGAGGCGGGGTGTGCTTCGATCGCGGTGCCGAGAAAGGGTGCGCGTGAGTGTCGGATAACTTCGCAGTTTACGTTAAATTTCCAGATCTTTCACATATTGCATCCGACAAAAAAACGATAAGCAAAATGAGAGATAGCGCTTTCAAATGAAAATATTTAGAAACGCAATTCAAATTGCGTAATATATATATATATACATTTCCGTATATATATATATATATTCCGTAATATATATATATATACATTTCCGTATATATATATATATATCTACGAAAAAAATGAGATTAATTGCGAAAACGGGTCATCGGTGAAATCTGGCCCGCTCTCTCCGGAAAATACGGTCCAAATGGACGAGAAGGTTTTTTTTTTCGGAGAAATGTTTTCTCTTCGAATATTTGCCATATCGAGTTCAGACGTTAAATTATAAAATAACAGTATACGAGCACTCTTCGAGTGCGACGATACGTGTAATGATTATCACCGTTATATAAGATTGTAATGCAATTCAAGCAGAAGGCAGGAAGAATTGTCTGCGGAAAGCAGAGAGTCGAGAAAAGGTGATATCGTCTGTGAAGGCAATAAGCTGGTTTTTCCACCGGTTTGTAAGCACCATGCGGCAACTTTCACACCAGAAATCGTTTGGATGCGGCTGATCAATGTTTTTGTGCGCTTAACATTGAAGCAACGTAGTCGTGTCGCCGTTCCGGTCGCTGTACCAGAGTTCGGGATGATTTCATTGTTAACACGATATAAATTCACATATATATCTGTAAAACGACAAACTTTACTGCCAGAGCGCTCGCTAATTTCCGCCCCACTTTCTTCGACGCATTCTCGTCGGGGCTTCCACGCGAAATGTTAGTCGCGTATGTTAACCGCGAACAAGGTCAATTGAACGACGAGTACATTCACTTTACTCCGATCCACAAATTTGTGGATTTGTAAAATTGAAAACAAAAACAAAATGATATATTTCATATAAAAATTTTACATACACATCTAAAGAGAACTTTAGATATTTTTAATTAAAAAAACTCAAGAATTGTTAATGTCGAAATTTAAACGTATATAACTAACATCCTACGATAAGAAAGAAGTTTGCGTTGTTTTATGCGAACAGTGATAAGAAAATAGAAAACAGTTTTCACACTAAAAAAAAAAAAAAGTAGTCTCTTCATTAATTTCTGTTCTCAACAAAAATAAAATCGCTCAACAGTTTTATAGCCACGTGTTTTCGTGCTGTTAAAATCGCGCGGCCTGTACTTTGCTAACCGTTAAACTGACGCAAGTAGCACTCCTTCGTGGACCGATGCTTTCTCTTGTTAAAACATCGGTGAAGTCTGACCGAGTGTAGAAAGCCCACATTCATTCGGTATTACGAGTTAGAGAGAGGTGCGCGAGTGTCGATTTGCCTGGAACAAAATTCAACCCAGGAGTGAAACCACGCGCGTGCGCGCGTCGTTTAAGGAAATCGAAATCGAAAAACAAAATATATTATAATGATTGTCACACAAGATTTCTTTTCAATTTGCATTAAATACTTTATATTTTTATACACACGGAGAATATACAAAGGTTCACGTTCTTATCTCTTTCCATGTCTTTTGTCATTGTATTTTTAATAAATCTAATATCTTTTGTCATATCTTTTGCACGTGTGGTGTAATACGCAGTTTTTCATAAATAAAACATTATCGCCATAAAAGCTGGGAGGCGATAACGTATAATCTGTTATTTTCCGATGTGTACATAGATGCGAACATATCAACAATGTTACTTATCGAGATATTGGCTCTTTGGATTTACAGTTATACATCCGCGAGCAACAACTTTCTATACAAAATCTCAGCGCTCGACGAGTATATAATGTTTGAAATTTTTTGAAAACAAAATATGAAAGATGATTTCATTTGAAAACGGAAATGTCACGTGTCATTTTGCAAAATATGATTTTCAGTCGTAAAACAATTTGACTTGCTTACTTCCTACAGTCTCGAGAGTAACGCAGCGAGCAGACGTGTGCGAGCACGGCTTCTCTATCAGCTGATTTATTGATTTTCTGAAAATCACACATTTTATACACGCCTACGGAGACGTTGGATTTCACGCGCTTATTGGCTTTGCATTAATTAATTAACAATTTAATAATTATTGCGAATTTTGCAAAATGATAGGTGACTTTTTTAAGCTGAGGATCGATACGAGTTAATATGCCGGATACATGTACATGCATACAAATATAGTTTTTAAACGTAAATTAATACGTATATGGTAATTCGAATTAAATTCAATTCGAAAATTTGTATATATGCTTGGTTTGCATTTTCATGACTTTTTTGTTCGAAATGACACAATTTAACTTCACATCTTCGGCTATGTCGGAAAGTTTCAAACACCGAAGATACACGGAAGTTCTTTCTCGCTGTTTTGTGTTTGTGCGTTTGTTTTTTCCTTTATTGATCAAAGTCAATAGTCAATAGTCAAAATCAAAGTTAGCTTGAATGAAATATTCTCACGTTGATCTCAACCGGCGCGCTTTCATCCCTCGCTTTAATCTCATTAACATTAACACACAAAGTTTATCTTCAGTCGTTAATCCAAATGTCCTTCTGTCCCAATTCCTGCTTTGCATTCACTCTCGTTTGCAGAAGGATTACGTCATATCCCACGACGCGAGTTTGCGATCAGACAACACACACGTGTGTGTGTGTTTACATAAATAAACACCTAAGAAATATATATAAAATACATAAATATTTATTGTAGAATAAATAAACATATAATTTGAATGACTCGCATATTTCTGTGATTTGCTTGTTTTTGCGGTTACTCTTTGCGGGAGATGAAGCGAGCAGCTGATGTGTAACTAACGGAACACAGCGGGAACGTAACCGAACGGTACCTCGCGTCCGATCTCTTTTCCGTTCTTTATAGTCTTTCTTTCTTCATCCTTCTGCGAGATGAGAAATTGAAGCCATTGGTGGGCACCTTCTAACCTTGACCGCGTGACAGACGGTGGGCTCGAGCCAATTACTTACTTTACCTGCGTGTCCCACTTCTGTCACGTCATTCCACCACATACGCATAGTGAGAAACGATTTAATAAAGTGTTTAATAGTTTTCTGAAAAATTATTTTACATTTTATAGTGCATTCCATTAACATTTAAATTCATTTAGACCCTATAATATTTAACATTTATGCAAATGCGTGAAAATAAAATATATATACGTTATTTGACGAATTATTTATTTATATATAATTGCGTCACAAGAACGTTATTACCTGTCGTTACGTTTTGTACGTGGAAACAAAAAAAAAAAAAAAAAAAAAACAACTTGCTTGAGAGAAGAAAAAAGTAAATTCCGCGAAAATGTTTGTGAATGTTGCAGACGATATTCCTAACAATTGCCCTCCTGCCGGTCAGACTAGCTGCCATTACGACTCTGATGATTCTGGCGTGGCTGTTAGCTTGCTTGGGTCTGCACGGTTTGACCGAGGAGGATCTTCGGAGGGCTCCTCTCAAGGGTTGGAGACGGTACGTTAGCAAAAGCAAAAACAGCATGATAGATCTCAGCAAGAGGAGATCGCACAACCCTATTTTTTCCTTCGTTATTCCTCATTCCGAGCCTTATCTCACTACTCTCTGTGCTATTTATGTTAATAATTGATTAATTCTTCAGATTCGCTTTTTAACCCTTTCTCTTCCTCCTGGTATATATATTATCTCGCTTTGCTGATATATAGACTAAAAAAAAAAAAAACCCTCGCGCGAATATCTTCAAATGTACCGATCGAGTTCGGAGAGTTTAGATCTGGACCTTTGTTTAAAAATTCGTTTGCACGAAAAATATTTTTATGAAAAATATTTATTGCAATTTATTTTTATTTATAAATTTAATAATAATTCAGTTTAAAGTCAATTTATTAATTGACTCTGGCCAAAAAAAGTGAAAAAAAGAAGTTTGCCTCTAAATTCGTGTGTTCTCCGAAGTAGGACAAGGTTTAGCCTTTTCGTCTTAACACTGTTTGCGAGATTTCAGTATCTAAAACACATTTCCGTATTCAGCAAATGCTTTGTATGCGGCCTTCGTAATGTATAAACAGTGACTCAATCTCTCTTCATCGACAGATGAATTATAATTACAACATAAATTAACCTAGTCACAATGATACATTAATTTTGTACGATTAAAACTATTTGAAACATTTTTTTAAGTATATCTTTAATTTTTTTAGTTTTTTTAGCGCATATATATATAGACAATATGCAATAAAGTCGCGTGGTATCGCCTGTTTATATATTTCTTTCACACTTTAGTTTCTTTATGCACGTTACACACACATACACACACTTTATCAAAGTCGTACAGCGAGGAAAGTTTATAAGTCAACCTTGTGCTATTAAAGCCGTGCCATGTAAAGTTATAATAAATGAATTGAGTTGGTAGAAACTGTTTTGAAGTATTGTATTTTTAACTAATCACGGTGGAGAGAGAAAGAGAGAAAATAGCACCTTTAGTTCTAAATTATTTACGAATTCTCGTTTGAAATTACGTGACCGTCTATTACCTGAAATTATACGCTGTTTATAAATAAAGCGCCAATCGGACGTGTGCCCTTCGGACGTATAAAGAAAAAGAGTAAAGAACTTCTTTTCCTCTTAGAGAAGTTTTCTCCGCAGTGAGGATTCGTAAGTTTCGTATCTCCTGTGAAACTCGCGAAATCGCTTAAGATAGGTGAAATCCTTAGCGCGGATCTAAGGATCTCTCTCTTTCTATATGAACTAAGAATATATACAAAATTGCGAGTCTCCGAGAGACTCGCGCGGGACTCTCACTTAATAATTTCAAATGTCGCTTCTGAATATCTCGCTACAGTTATTTCGACGAAATAGAAAATTCCTTCTTTCCTTCCCCATACGAGAGAGAGTAGAAGTAGAGAAGTAGCGTCGGACGATGGTGCATGCGCACTGCAAATAAAACCACTTAAAAACAGAGACATGCGCGTCGTGATCTGCTGGATGATGCGGGCGTTATTTCTCTGCGGTGGATTTCATCATCTGAAGGTCAAGGGCCGGAAGGCAGAGACTAAGGATGCACCGGTGCTGGCCCTCGCTCCGCATTCCAGCTTCTTCGATGCACTTCCGGTCGTATACCTCGGCGGACCAAGCATCGTTGCCAAAGGGGAGAGTAGCCGCCTCCCTTTCTTTGGAAGTAGGTCTCTCATCGTTACGTGTTCGCCCAGTTAGGGGCGAATCGAACCAAATGAGGGACAGGTCGCGCGTTCGACCCATTTTCAATTTTAAATCAAACGCAATTTGACTATTATTAGAAGACTTTGTTTGTAGATTGTTGTTGTTTGAAACTTACAAGCCCCAAATATAGCGACCTCTCCCTTTGCGAGAAAGCACAATGTTCGACTCTGTTTCATTCACACACTTCGTTGTACGTAATATAAATATATACATACATGGTGGATGGGATTTACTTTTCTCAGCAACTAACTGTGTCATTTTTAACAATTGTTGATAATACGTGGTTTTTGACATCTTACGACATTTTATTGTACATTTTATCTCTCTTCGATCAGTAAATCAAATAGCAATTGAATTCGGAAAGCACCGGCTAGTTAAAGGGTTTAAATAAACAGCACTACTTGTTAACTCTCTGATGCGTTATTTGATAATATCCGTTGTGTCGAAAAGTGAAGTTAAATATAGAAAAAAAAAAAAAAAAATACAAGAAATCTCTTCGGCAAATTACTCAACGTGTAGACACACATCGCATGTGAATGAAGAACACGATTTGGACATCGACGGAGGTGTCGCAATGGAGGGTTAAAAAAGGAAGTGCAAAGCACGAGGCGTTGTTGTGATTATACTAACGTTTCTCGAGTATCAATAGCACGAGTACTAATCGAGCGGTTTTACTTATCGTCTCTTTTCTTTCTCTTTATCGCTCGATCGTGAAAGTGCATCGAGCGTTCCGCACATAAATTTCTCTTCTTCATAGAGTATGTATCGGTCCGATTATCGAGCACATATCGATGCACTTGGGAAACGTACTTCTCTTATTTCAAATGATTACGACATTGATCGAAACGTGTAATTCATCATCGCTGTATTTTCGCGATACTTTAATTGATCATTGAAAGAAATTAACATGACAATTATTGGAATATACAATTCCACTGTGTGCATTGTACCTTGTCGGTTGAAACCCGCAGCAAGTTAGTGCCATGGATATGTTTCGTGGGCCGACTTACTTACCAGGCCGGCGGGATGAAAATCGTGGTCCGAGGAAAACAGGCGTCCAGATCGGAAGCACCGATTCTGGTCCTCGCGCCGCACTCGACCTTCATCGACGGCGGCATCGTTTACGTCACCGGATTTCCCTCGATCATCGTCCGCCGGGAATCGGGATTAAATCCGTTTATCGGAAGTAGGTGTTTTGCTTTTTTTCATTTCTTTGCGTTCTATTGTGAATTTTAAAAAAAAATAGGTAAGTCAAACCGTTGAACAGTATTTTTTTTTTTTTTTTTTCTTAACCGACATGAGCCAAACGGAAAGCTACCAAGTGTCACGTATTATGTGCTATAAATACGTGAAGTCGTTTTGAACAATTTCCAACGAGGCATTATTGTGTGTTGGTGAAAGTTGTGTGTTGTAGTAACTCGCAACAACTTTTATGTGCGCAAGGTTGAAGTTTTTGCGTCGAAGATAAATAATTTATGTTTATAATCCTTTACAAGAAATTTTTATTACTAGTGTAGGTCGAGATAACATTTACTTTGAGTAATAAAACATCGTTCGGTGATACAAATATATTATCAGTAATAAAATTCTGTAAAGGATGTGGCACGTGTATATTTTATTATTGTCGGTAGAGAAATACGGCATTATCACGAATGCATAGCAGTGCAATAACTTTTTTCCGCACTGATATAGACATAGATATAGATATAGATTAAAAGTTACAAATGTGCAATAGTATTTTTACCAAGTAATTGTGTTCGCTACTGTCCAATAAAAAATTATTAATAATATTCAAAGCAATTAATCCCATTCACCATTATGTAGTACGAATTATTTGAAAAAAAAGAAAGAAAGAGAGTGAGAGAGAGAGAGAGAGAGAGAAGAGCAGATGCGGAATGAATGCAATAAATATATTACGAATTGCGCAACTAGCATTACTTGGCTCAGTCGATCGGAACAAGATCAAGTGTGGTCCAAGTCGCAATTATCAATGTATTGGTTATTTAAAGAAAAACTTAATTATATTTGCGTTGTTCTATTAATATTTCGCACACATGTAGAGCTCATCAACTATACGCAGCCGGTCTACGTATGGAGGGAAGATCCGAATTCCCGTCAGAATACCATTAAAGAGATCATCGAAAGGACCACTTCGAAAGAAGATTGGCCACAGGTAAACGCGGAATATTGAATTAAACCACTTTACATAACAAATATACAATATTGACATATGTGTATATAAAACGCAGGAAGCGGTATCACATGTAAACGTGATTAGTCCGTGAAGAGATTGGCTTAAAGTTTGTAGAATCATCAAACAGAGTTTACGAAGTTCATAAGAAAAGTTATTGCAGTTCTTCTCAACTAACTTTCTATTTCGAATAATCCAACGATTTGAGTGCACGCAAACTCGCGATCAAGGCTACATGTGTGCTCGCTTGCCGCGCGAATCACTACCTTCTCTCATCTGCTTCATATAATTGACCGATTATCCACCGCAGGTTATGATATTTCCTGAGGGAACTTGCACAAACCGGTCGTGTTTAATTACATTCAAATCGGGCGCTTTTTATCCCGGCGTACCGGTGCAGCCTGTATGCATCAGATACCCAAACAAATTGGATACGGTTACATGGACGTGGGAAGGTCCGGGCGCGTAAGTATAGATCATCTCTCTCTCCTCCCATCGTTTGTTTGATCTCGCGCGTGTTTATCTTCGACGTTTATGTGTGTGATTAGATTTTTATCGGTATTTTTGTTTAAAATTTTATCGTTCGCAGATTGAAATTGCTGTGGTTAACATTGACGCAGTTAAACAGTAGCTGCGAGATCGAGTTCCTACCTGTTTACAAACCGAGCGAGGCGGAGAAATTGGATCCCAAGTTGTATGCGAACAATGTACGTCGTCTCATGGCAGAGTGAGTGTTTTTTTTCTTTTTTTCGCGCGAGTCGCAGGAGTTAACAAAAAGGTGTTTTAGATTTTTATTTCCCGTCCCAAAGAATTTGACACACATATCGTTGCGACTCTCTTTACAGCGCGTTGAAAATCCCCGTTTCGGATTACACGTACGACGACTGTCGAATTATTAGAAAGGCGCATCAGTTGCATCTTCCGCACGCGTCCAGTATCGTGAAGACGCACAAACTCCGCTACAAATTGGGGTAATGATGCACACTGCCTGCAGATTAAATTGATGATGATGCATCATTTTTTTGTTTTTATTTATGAATTAAAATTAAAGAATAATATTTTATTTATTTGTTTACGCGTTACAGTTTAGTGGAGTCGAAGACGGAGGAAGAACTTGTGCAGAAGAAGACGAGCAACTTCGGCGAAGTGAATCTGCAGGAATTCGCGCAGATCCTTAGATTAGATGAAAAAGATCCAACTACGCAGCAACTGTTTCGTATTCACGATAAGGTCGGATTAATTAGTTGAAATGACACACGTATATACATGTATATATGTGTATATATATATAATGAAAAGAAACTTGTTCTGAAGAGGAATTTCTATTTATTTTGCTTGTTACAGCTCGGACTAGGAAAGATCGATCTTGAAGAGTATATCTTCACCGTGTTGGCGACGGCAAATGCGTCTTCGGAACTTGACAAGGTCGAGATTGCGTTTGATGTAAGTTGTCGACCGCGTATAATTGTATTGCGTATATGTGTATAGCGTATATGTGTATAGCGTATATGTGTATAGCGTATTAAATCTTAATTTTACACGCATCACGTTGTGTCACGTAGGTGTGCGGCTCGAAGACGACGACGAGTCTGACTCAATCGGAGCTCAGGAAAGCCTTGAGATTGTCACTACACATACAGCCGGAGGAATCTGACAGGATCTTCCAGCAGGCTAAAACCGACAAGAACGACAAAACAGTGAACTTTGGTAAATATTTTCGCGTGATTGATTTTCTTTGATCGAGCAGTTGAGAATGAAGATCAATGACGAACAATGAAGGTGTTGATAAAATATATTTCTTGAAATTTATATACAAAAGTACGCAAAACGTTTCGGTCTCTAACTGGAGCCTTCTTCAGTCGCAGTTAAAAAAGTATGCTTAATTAAAATAAAATGAATATGATTCACATATTGGGATAAGAATTCGAATGCTGAGGGTCCATTCGAAGGGTCCAGTTAAAGACCGAAATGTTTCGCGTACTTTTGTACTAAATTTCAGAAGAAATATATTTAATCAACACCTTTATCGCTCGTCACTGACCTTCATTCTCAACTGCCTGTATTTATACTACACGAGCTTCTCACACTTTCTTCTGTTCTTTAATCGGTTTTAATTTGTTTTTTTACAGACGATGTTCTGACGCAACTATCGAATCGAGCGGAATACGCGCACTTGTTCGCTGCGAATAACGAGGGTTCGAAGAAGGCTATTTGAAATTGTCTGTTAGAGCCCGAGATTCCTTCCGTGGAACTTCGAGGCAGGCCTTTTCACAGTCCCGTCTGCTCCAATCCCGTATGAGAGGCACGTCATATTCCAAGATGTCCTGAGGATCTTAAAAGCGAATACACTATTTTGTCGTCCACGGCGAAGTTGCGGTCGCACGTTCGCGACGATTTTAGACTGCTAGCTCGCGTCTTTCCTATAATCCTACTAAATTTAGAGAAAGGAACTTAGAGCGAGAGAGATAGAGGAAACTTAGAATTTTAAAAACTCAAGGATTCTAAATAGTTTAGATTTGATAAATTCGAGAATGTTTAGTTATACATATATATGCTCGAAGAATACAGAGGATATAAAAATTCGAGGACACGCGCGACGTAAGTTTCTGTAAGAAATCGACGATGTATCGACGAGAGTTTTGACGTCTCGGGAGATTTCACTTTCTTAGAAAGTTCGGAAATGTGAAAGCCCAAGGATCCGAGGGAAAACCATTTTTATCCTTTACATTCGGAAAAAATTCGACAGTTCCTGGTGGCTGGTACTTCCGATTTGAAAAGATCTACGGACGTTAAAACCTCGAACAAGGGAAAACAAAGTTTTATGGTTTCTGTTTTTGCTGTATAGCACACACGCGTTAGTTAAATAATCCGCGATCGCAAAGCTTCTTTCTCTAGCTCGAAAGCGAGTAAATACACGGTATATAGGTCTCGGACATGCATTTAGATGAAAAAAAGGAAGAGAACGAAAGAGAAAGAGAGAAATGGGCTAGTAAGGTGTGTAACTAATTTATTTTTTCAGTTCAATGGTTCAGGCCGTTGTATTCGCTACACATGTACAGAGTAGTGCACGTACGCAAATATACACGTATAAACTTAAATTGTGTACATATTTGTTGTACACAATAGTATGAAACGACACATAACGTAGACACGGTCATGAAGAAAAATATGGCGAGATTGCGCGCCATATCGATCGTGTCTACTGTCTGTGAGCGCAAGTGCACTCATGTGTGTAGGTATGCTTGTATGTAAGTGATGTATGTATGTACGTTAATGTATGTATGTATGATGTACATAGAGAGAGAGGATATACAAGGGCGCGGAGAATTAAGAAAAAGTGCCCGCTTTGTAATATCTGTACATGAACGAAATGGCTGAAGTTTAATAACGCATTGTTAGTGGTCATTCTGAGTTAAAAACAAAAAAAAACCCGGATATATTAAGTTATATCTTCTAGTTAAAATAATGTTACAAATAACAGTATTTATTGAACTGAAAAAACTGCGAATTTTTTTATGCGTCTACTCTCTTGTAATTTTTATGTTCACCCAAACTGATATAATTTAGCGCCAAAGAGAACTATACATATAAATAACATATATACATAACATTTTATATTTATTTAAAATTATTTTACAAGAAACATTTTTTTTTTCTCATCTACACTAGAATTGGCAGTTTGTTAGATTAACTAACGATAAGGTAACGCAGTTATTTTAACTAACCCAGACAGCGCGGAAAGGCCAAAAGACATTTTTAAAGATGTCTAAACGACAATAAGACGTCTTTAAGTTGTTTTTTAGTCATCTTAGAAATATGTGCTGTCCTCTAGGAAGTGTGTACACTGAAAGCATATTGATCGAATAGACGTACGTATGATAAAACAGAAATTAGTTTTATTAAGTAATAGTAATCATAACTAAAATATATAACAAATTAAAATAAAAGAAAATAATAAATACTGCATTAGGTGTTTGCAAATTGAAGACGTGCTATTTTACTTTGAAAATTCATGTGACTGATCAATGCAATCGGTCACTTTAGCTGTAATTTGCGTTCGATTTTATCCGACTCCTACAATTTGTAAAACCAAATGCAATCATACACGCGAGAAACGAGCATGAAGTATGGGAGGAGGCGTTTAAGGATAATAAGTTAAATTATTTGGGTTTTTAAAAATTCCGCCAACTCCTGAACAACATGTTAATGATTCCCGATTTTCATTTTGGTTAAAGTAAAATAAAAAGCGAGAGCAACATTTATATATACGTCGACACTTTATTAGCTCGATATAATGTGTATTTAAAGAATATTATTACAATCGCGTGACTTCGGAATTATTGATAGCCCGTAATTTCCCGTCGGAATGACTAGACCGTCGATGCCTGCTAACTTGCGCGTGGGTTGACTGAACATATCCCGCTGCCTCGTCGGCACGTTTGTGCTTCTCCAGCTGAACGAATCGCGAGCCGGGTCCGCCACCGCCGCCGCCGCCGCCATCAAGGCACTCGCAGCTCAGACTGGCCTGATCTAAGTCGCCCTGATATGGTCCCGGCGGGATCAGCAAACTTTCTGTCGACTTGGTCGGTTGGAAGTGCCGACTGACCGTCGAGCTCGTCACTGTCGAATACGCGGTGCTGCCACTGGTGCTGGTCTTTCGTTGCACGGTGCCGATTAGCGTTTTCGATCTGCCACTGCCAACGCCGCTATGAGACCCTTTACCAGGACGTTCCGCGCTGTGAGTCTTGATGGTCGCGGTGTCCAGATAACCATAACCGAAGCCGTAACCTCCGAAAGCCTTGGTAGTCAGATTGTCCCAAGACTTAGGCTTGGCATATTGAAGGCACGGCGGTGGTCGCTGATGCACGCTTGGATCCCAGTACAGAGTATCGGTACTGAGGCTGGTGGAGCAAGAGGCGACGCTGTCAGCCGTCGTTGAAATGTCGCTACTAGTAATTGAATGAAGACTATGACCTGATGTGCGAGGACAATTGTGGGCAGATTGCTGCTGCTGTTGTTGTTGATCGCGTTGTCCTTGCGCGTGATGATGCTGCATGCTGATCTGTTGCTGCTGTTGTTGCTGTTGCTGCTGATGAAGAGTCTGTTCGTTCCGAGCGCGTCGTTGCTTCTCGCGACGTCGGCGACTAGGCACGCAATTCGGATCGCAGCAGGGACTGGCGAGATCATAAGCGTCAAGACTACCACTGTCGGATTGTTCCCGGCGACGATTCGCGCTGGATATGCAAGCGACACAAAGACTATTCTGAGGTGCCGAGTGTAACGAAGGTCCTTCACTAGCGACAGACGATTGCTGTTGCTGCTGCTGTTGTTGTTGCTGCTGGCAGGTCTGTTTGTGGGACTTGCTCTTCACAGGTGTTCCGGTCATGCCGTTTGCTTGATGATAACTGTGACGCGAGGAGACCGTGGTCACCGCGGATTCGCTTGACATTTTGGAAAGGAAGTGATGATGATCGCTGCGCGAACGTGGCGGTCCGACTGTTACCAGACAAGCGGCGCTACGTGGAATGAGACAAGGTCGTCCATCCGCAAACTGAAAAATTTACGTTTCTCAAATTACTTGCGTCATAATTAAGCGTACAAAAATAATAACAAAATTTTTTACAAGAAAATTGCGCAAGATCACATTAAGATATAATTCCTAAAAGTAATCACAAAAAATTTGAAACATTTACACGCGTAATGCGCGAGAGCAAATTTCTTATTATCAAAATGTAAGTAACGGCTACCACGTTATAAAGCAAAAGGTGTTCGGTAGAGGTTGCTGGCCGGCAGCATTGGATCGTGGAAGAGTTAAAGCTAGAAGAGGGCGATGGATGACCGGGGTTAGTGCCGGCGATGCTGTTAGGCGTTCTCTTGCGCGCTGGCAGTGAATGAGTCTTCCACCGGCCCATTAGAATGGACCGCTCTCTCTCGCACAATCTCTCCAGCTCGCCCAGACGGGACTGGAGAGCGCGTTGCAACTCGATGTAACGCATGTGTAGTTCCACCTGAAATCACGAAAATTTTATTCAAAAAAAAATTTTACTAATTAACACTCTCTTCAGACGTGCAAGCGATTTCATCCAAACTCAAATCGAAGTTGCGATCAGTAAGATCGAACTTTTTTCTCTTACCTTTCTAACGCAATCTTCGAAGGACACGACCATTCGCATTCTGGTATCACAGTTTTTGATAAAATTCACTAGGGTTTTGTGATCGGCTCTGTCCATCTCGTGGCCGTTAATAGAGAGTATCACGTCACCCTCTCGCATACCTGCCTTAAAAGCTGGCCCATCGTACTCCACGTAATCCACATACGTCACCATCTCTATCTCCTGCTCTCTCTTGTAGTGTATTCCATAGCTCTGTCGAATGAATTCGAGATCAAATCGTTAACAATTGAAACATTTGAGATATATACGAATAAAAGGTACTCTGTTAAAATGTTGTTTGAGCGTTTTATAAAAGACTTTTATAAAAGGCGGTTATTGATAAAGTAGAACGAGCACTAGTAGGTTTTTAGCAAGGTATCAAATTTTATCATGTAATACAATAATAACGTAATCGTTACCTGTAACGTGAAGCCGTATGTGCCGTTCTTTTTTTCAACGATAATCGTCCGGCGACGTCTGTCCTCATCAGCGCGCGCAGTTCTATCGGACTTGGTTCTCTCAAGGACAGCCTAAGCAAAATTATTTATTATTATCGCTAAAATTGCAAACGCATTTGGATCGATTATTACGATAAAATAAAATTTCTATGATGCTTTCCGCGAGAAATGTATTATACATATAAAGGTTAATAAAGAGAGAAATAAACTTACGAATAATTATTAAAAATTCGAAGAAAGAACATTGTAGAACATTTTGTCGAGAATTAATTAAATCATGAATCATGAACAGGCACACACACACACACACACACACACCACAATGTTATTTAGTAACATTATATGTTACATCGGTTAACTATTAATTGCTTATATAAAATATCTTAATTAATAAAATATAATAATCTCGCGAAGAAACAAAACAGAACAGAACAGTGCACGTTTATTCCTTACTAAGCAACTAAATTTCGAAAACGACGCGAAAGAGTTTGACGTATGTGCATTAGAGTGGGTCTTATTTCTGGTGAAAATTTGTTTTAAATTGTAATTTTGACGAAATTGTTTTGTTGCAACACTCTCTAGAATGGTTCCAATTGCTAAAAAAAATAATTTGTGAAAAAGTTCAGCCCGATCGAATAAGGGGAAAAGGAGCACCTTAAAAAATTTTATATTTTTTTGAAAACCGTTAGTCGTACAAAAAAAGTAATAGATGATAAAACATCTTTTTTTTTTTAATTTTTTTAAAGGCCCAGAGGCTCCTTTTTCCTTTATCCAATCGGGTTGAATTTTTTTATAGATTATTTTTTTGGCAATTGGAACCGTTCTAGAGAGTGGCGCAAAAAAATTCAAAAGTCCAAAATAAAGAGTCCACTTTAATGTGCACGCATATCAAGTGTCCATACGCGCACACACGCGACGACTCGCGCGATCCTAATACATATAATATATATGTATAGCCTGTCTCTCTTTTATATAGTATCTCACATTCTGTGTGTGTGTCATTCTGCTCGGATAATTGTCCTTGAATGACCTCGTCTTTACCTCCCACTCTACCTCGTCGCTTTTGTTACGATTGCACCGATGGTTTAAAACCATCTGCTAGTGTCACTGTAATTCGAAACCTTTTTGCGTTAACTTATTCTGCAAATTTTTTAATAATTCTTCTCTAATAATAAGATTTTAAAAATTCGATATGGACTCAAGAATTTCATTACAAGCTTGAAAGAGCTTCAGTTTTTATTTGATTTCTTTTCTTTGGTCACCGGCCGATTTTCCCGCAATGCGAATATCAGGTGAAAAGGAAACACATCAATACTCTCGCAATAAATTGCACTCAACTATGACATTGCAACTTTAACAGTCTTATGTAAATTCTTGTTAATTGATGTTTACAAGATGAATTACATCGCATCAACATGCTGCATAGATTTGATCGATGTTCAATCGATCATAATCGAAGTCCCGGAAAAAAATCGTAGACATTGTTTTTTGCAAAAAGTCTCAGTAGTGTAGTATTGCTGTTGTTGTTAATGAGTTTCATCTTTCAAAAGAACAAATGTCAAACGCTGGCTCGTTATCGCACGTAGTGTTGGTGCGACAACTCGCCAAACTATTGCCATTTGTGGTACAATGACTTTAGTGTTGCTCGAAAATTTCTCTCCAACGAGTTGTTTTTCTTTTTTACAAATTCTAAAATAAACAAAAAATCACACGGAAGGCGGATAAAGCAGCGGTTTGAAGCCCAACTCATAAATTTTGACCGTTGCAACAGTCGAAGTATGAGGCTGATAAATCGTCAAAAATTATCGAGAGCATCTACTTCGGTGAGCTGTCACATGCAACAACAAGTTTGACATTTGATTGTTCCTCTGAAAGATAAAACTTGTCCACGACAACAGCAATGCGATACTACTGTCGTTATCTATGGATCGTTTCGGATACTTATCATTCGCTCCTCGTATATAGGTGTACTCGGCCTATTGCCTTTGTAACAAGATTTTCTATTTATTCGCTTTAGGATTAGTTATATATCTCGTTCAAATTGAAAAGCGATAATAATCGATATGATTTTAACAAAAAAACTGTACAGTTCCTTTTTTTCTCCTCGCGGTTGAAAAGTGCGATAAGAAAAAATTACAACGTTGCACAAGTGAGAGATCAGACAGAGAAGCAATGTGACGGTAATTACACATTCGACGACGCCGCTCCATTCCTCCTCGTCGCTGTTGTCGACGCCAGGTGTTCGCCGCTGCCCGGTGCCGGCGCTGTTCGAGTTTTGCGGTGAGCTGTTCATACTGGTCGGGCAAGAATGTCCGTGATGAATGGCCGGGTCGTTGTCGTTGCCGGGATGCCATCAACCAACCGGTGCCAGGCGTCTTCCCGAGATCGGCTAAGTTGAAGGGATTTTAAAACGCGCGTCCCGACGCCGTACGACGCCGCACGACGCCGCGGCGGCACGTCTCTGTCGCGAAGATGTCTTCTGGTGTCGACTGTCTCTGGGTTGTTCATCGCGCAGACGCGACAATATCGGCCTAACACCCCGTAGCGCGATAAGGGGTTGGCGGGGGTATGAGCGGCGGCGGCGGCAGTGTCATCGACCGGAGCCTCTCCACCTCCCGTTGTTGCATCCCTCTGGCTCCATCGCGACGTTCCCCCGCGACGTTAGACAGGAATAAACGGAGATTTAAATACGCAGGACCGCACGTGGATGCTGAACAAGAACCGGAACGCTAGGACAGTCATAATAGCGCGCGCAGACTGATGATATATCCGCTGTTGAATATCATAACTTCCGGAATTCCGAAATTTTAGCACAGTTCTCACATTTGATCTCTTTGGAAACATCTTCTCGTTGTTGTTTCTCAATGATGAATCATTGATATTTGTCGAGACTGAGTTTCTGAATTAAACGGGGCAGCCGCATTTTCTAATGGTTTCCTTGCGCCTGAGTAAAGTGCTTTTCTTTTCGGGACAACACGGTGCGCACTTATCTTCCTTGACGTCTACCAGCCGACGTTCTTTTCGCTTATATTCGTCACAGATAGCAGCGCTGATCATTGCAGCTTCCCCACTGCCGTCGGTCTTCTTGCACAAGCACTTGTCCGGGAGGATGGGAGTGATCTTCTTGAATTGAAATAAGCTGTTGCTGTCAATCCTTTTGAAAAGATAGAGTTTCTTGTCGGGAGACATTTGAAACTGCGTGACTATTTTTCTGCCAAAACTGGAAATGCGGATGAAGACCGTGACTTCGCCGACGCATTTTCCCGTCGCCGTGGTGATCTGGAAAGTGTTCTTCATCATTCTGTAGCTATTGATGTTGTCGACGATCTGCCGGCTCAGGACCCAATTTACGAGATCGCAAATTTGGATCTGGTGAGTACCTGTGAGGTAATTGTGAAGTAATTGTGGGTGTTTTAATTAATGCGAAGGAATTTAATCAAAGAATATAACTGAAGAAAAAACCTATTAACATCACGTCCGGCAAATGTCCCGGCGGTAGTTCCTTGTACACAGACATTGTTACGGGAAAAATGGTTAATGGTTTTTGAAGAACAGCACTTGGAAGAGCGAACAAACAGGATTTGCCCTTTTTAAAGACTTGCGATCCCTCATTAACACAGACGCAATCTTCTGCTGCCGTTCCTTGATAAATATTAATAGGCGGTAAGCCCAGTACCTGTCGCAGTTACATTGTAATATATAAAAATAATATTTTTTAAGAATAAGATTTTTAAAATATAAAAAAAAACAAGATAAAAGACAATATACATAATCAATTTACTTGAAACGAGATGAAAGTCTTTGTCGGCAATATTTTCTCTTGACTAGCCCATATTGCGGGAATATTGACAGTGTCAACTAAGAACTCGATCAAGAACAATTGTCCTTCCATTTGATTTTGTATTAATATATAATTTTATACGTAATTTATAATTTGTGTATGTTTCATAGATAACAATGTTTATTTTGTGTATTGTTTGTCGTTTATCACTTTATTCAATTTAGATTATTATCAACGATAAAGAGAAGAGATAGAAGAAATTTTAGGTTGACATTTATATTTGAAGTCTTATCGATCGAAGCGCCGTCTTACTGTACAGGAGAATTCATTTATGATTAATTATCTTTCTTGCATGATTAATACTTACATTTTATAAAAAAATATTGTAAACAATACTCGTTTTATTACACTTATTGGCAGTTTGTATAAAATAAACTTAATTGCAATTAAATAAAATATATTTATTGCACAAGTTAATAAATTAGTTATACAAAAATAATTTTTTTTAGTAAAATCTTAGAAGTGTAAGGTAACAATTAAAAAAAGGATAAAAAGGGAAACCGCACACACAATCAAAAGAAGTAAATTTTTTAAAATAAATTCAAGTTTATCGGAATTTGCCTTTTAATTCTGAACGTATTCGCTGTTTTTTCTTAGCTTTGTGCTTTTTTTTATCATCACGTCTTCGGTCTAGCGGTTTCTTTTCTTTTACTTCAAGATCCGTCTGTATATCTCTAGTCTCGTATCTAATAGGTGGCCTTCTTTCAGATCCTTTCGGAGTCTTCATCTCCAGCTGTATGTCGGACTTCTCGTTGACACCAACAAGACCTTTTTTGCCGATTCTCAGAACAAAAATATCGTGTTGGGACGACGTAGCGTCTGGTTTGGTCGTATCGGGTTCCGCAGCAACGGTTACAGTAGGTTTTTTACAACCGTTATCGCCGTTGTCAAAGAGACCAGAGACCTTGAGAACTACCGGCTTGCAGAACTGACTGCGACTAGATTGCGAGCTCTTCGATAACTGAAAATCAGAGATCTGAGCTCAGCTTGCATTTTTACTTCAAAACTTTTACACTTTTTTTTTTTTTTTTAAACACATACCGCATCCTTCAGTTTTACATCCAGCATTCTATCGTCAACTTTACTTTTCATTCCCTCATCCCTCTTAACAATTTTTTCTTTCCCACATGGCGCACAGATATAACTCTTTAACATATTCGCCGGATAATTGAATAATTCTTGAAGATTCTTGCTAGATGCCTCGCACAGATCGATAACGCTCGAATCTGTTTTTCGATAATCGTGCATTATAATCCGATCGGTTGTTTCACCAGTGCCGAAGAGAGAAGTCGAGAAATCTTCCGTTATCGGCTCATCAAATTCCGTGACTATTGTTTCTCCGTAACTGGACAATTTCACAAAGACGTCGAGAGTGCCTGACTGGTTGTGGTTGTAAATTAATGGCACTTCAGCGTCGAGCTCTTTGGTTGTCGTGACACCCGCGCCCCAACACTTCAGTATTTCTTTTCTGAGAGCCAAGTACTGCTTGGACAGGTTGAGGGTGCCAGTGCCGACTAGAATATATTTCGGTATGATGTTATCGGACATCTGTTTCTTCACGGTGAAGTTAAGAACCATCTCCACGGCGCAGTTCGCCACTTCATTGTAATCGAGGGGAAACAAAACTGATTTTCCAGCGTTGAACACTTCAAAGAAATTTCTAATATCATTCCGCGACTGATTAAGGGGATCTGCGGAAGTCACCGTTAGATCGTCCTCGTCTACGAAATCGAAGAATCCGAAATGGACGACGGTGGGCACGGCGAACATTTGATTAAGTTTAGCCAAGCGATCGCTCGACACTCGTCTCACGAACACTTCCATTAGAAACAGATAGTATTTGTCTTCCGGTCTGGACATACTGACTGATTGCAATGTTTGCCGACAGATAATTCACGTGCATTATCAGTTTGAACGATGATTTATTGGTTAGCAGAGAGATAACTTAAAAAAGAGACGCACGATATGAGAAAGTTTTCCGTTGAAAAATAGTTTTTCAAGCAGTTATTCAACGAGTCTAAAAAAGTTGAACAAAAATGGCAAAAGCACGTTAGATTGGATAAAAGTTCACTGGATCAATTTTTTAATATGGCACAATTTCAGAAACAAGATTATCAGAAGGTTATCGCGACAGTATTGACAGCTGCCGCGCTTGCTTAATGACTTGATACATGTATATTGCGCAACGTTACTGTTTTACTCATTCAAAAGTCTCGATCGAGTTTGCTTTGATTTACGATAAAAAAACGAGATAAAGACAAACACGTAAAATAAATAACAGGATAAAACAAACTTACACAATGATATATATGATTGTTATAGTATTGCGCAAGATAGAATTTGATGCATAAAACAATCCACGACCTTAGAGAATGATGCAATGTCAATAGAATTAGAAGTAGTTATTAAGGTTACATTTATGTACTCTTTATAGATCTCTCTGGCTGTGTGTTTTTAGTTTTTACGCGTCTTTCAAGCCTTTAACTATTACACCTCTTAATATTAGAAAATATTAATCCAAAAATGTAACTTAATCGACAAAATTAATTTCTATATATATATATTT